TCGATGCTGGCATTAGTGTACCGAATCGCCCACGAAGCCTCTCGCAAGTTCAGTCTCCTGGTCATCGGCCTAGGGGTGTTTATCTCCATCAATTGCGTTGTGTTTATGATGGTGGCCATGTTGCAATGCCGGTATGTAGGCTTTGATTTTCCACAGCCAACAAGACTGACTTTCTGCAGGCCTCTTTCTCAGTATTGGACGCTTTCAGCTGAGCCTCAGAACTGTATTAACGAGGCAGCGCACCTCCTCGTTGCCAGTATCATCAATACCGCGACCGACTTCGCCGTGGTCCTGCTACCACTGGCTCTAGTCCGTATTGTCTATAAGAACAAGCTCTCTTCTAGGCAGATGGTTATTGTCAACCTGCTTTTCGGTGCCGGTTTCCTGGCGTGCTTCGCCGGCATAGCTCGCACTTACTTTACGTGGATCATGACCACGGAACCGGATGTTACCTGGAACGCCTGGATGAATTGGCTCATGTCATCACTCGAGCTGTTCCTTGGGATCATCTGCACCAGCATCCCGTCAACCAAGCCATTCTTCAACCGGTACCTTCCCAGATTGCTGGCCTCAAGGTCTCGCAAGTCACAACCTACCAGCGTGCCATTACCTACCGACAAAGCAACAAAGGGCTCCCAAGCGGGCAGCCAGTTATCCTTCGACTCGGATCTGGAGGATGCCATACCCATGGGTTCACAAACATCAACACCAACTACGACGGTTAAGCGCTTCAGCGAAGCGACATTGAATAAGCCATTGCCGGCTGTCAAGAAGAATTCCGTATACACCATCAAAATCCAGCTGGATGAAGCCAGCCTCAGTCCCGCGGACAGGAGAGACCGCGCGCTGAACCAAGTCACCCCGACAGCCCCGGCTCCAACAATACACAACTTCAGCAGACCAAAAGTCCTTCACACGAGGAGCACGTCGGAGCCTCACAGCATACACCACTTGAGCACCGAGTATGCTCACGACTCGGATCGTCACAGCCAAACCCTGGACGATTCGGATAGCAACTACCGGCAGAGCATTGACGACCTCGAAGCCGGCCGTTACAGCTCCTACGACCGCCAGAGCTTTGCGGCGTCTACAAGAAACCTTACCGGTGCCACGGCGACGAAAGGCCACGCCAAAAACCCGTCCGTCGGCACTTTTGGGGGCTGAATTCGGCGGCGAAGCTTCTTCTCGGTGTGGCAGAGAGCGAAGATGGTGGTGTGTGTTGCAGCAGCAGAGGGACGGGATGAGACCCATCAAACATGGTTTGAGGCTTCCTAACGCCGTCCTCCCGGCGTTTACTTTTTTTCTTTACTTCATGAGACGGGATACGGCGGCTACACTTGCAGCTTATGATACACCCATACGCACCCACACCGCCTGCTGGATGGCAAAAAGGCGGCAGTTCCTGCATCTCATTTCCTTTTTTGTACATTCTTATACATTTTAGCTTTTCGGGAGCCAGACCCGAACCTTCGTCACGACGCCTACGACCAATAATACACAACAGACTGTAGTACTTAGAGTCACTGTTGGTTTTGCCAATCTGTCCTTGTGCCCTACCATCTGTTCCACGTCTGACTCTAGATAACTCTAATCACTCCAAACATCTCAAATTGCCTGAACTCTGGGAAAGCTTGATCCTACCTCCGGCCCAGGTCCCAGACGGTCTTCTCCCCAATGGGAATCAACCTTTCGCTCTTCGCTGTTGAGACGTCCGCCCCGCGGCCAGAGGAGAGAGGGAAAGATGCGTGTCGGTGGGTAGTCCCGATGGCGGCCGACAGACATGCTTCCAGGACGAGGGGCCGTTGAACCCGTCCCCCCCTCCACCCACTCCTTATTACCAGCTCATGACTTGCTTCTATCGAAGCCACCACCTGCGGATAAGCTTCCTGTAGCACAATCCACTGGAGCCATCCCGATTTAACGGCCCCGTTCTTTCGCCGCAATCGAAAGCTCTCCATCCTCCCCCACATCCTTATTCCCCTCCAAGCCGTCCTTAAATCCATGTCGATTCAAGCCGTAAAGCCTTCCCTCCCTGCAAATGCCTTTATGATGGCGTGCAACCGTCTGCTCATTAAGCAAAAAACTGACTGCAAAGCAGCTCCAAAGTCCCGTCAACGTCCCGCTGCAGAGCTACACTCTGTCGTGCACAAGTCAGTCCACACCCACGTGCCCGCCAAGTCTCCTCCCAAGCATGCCTGCCCGCTGCCGCCATGGCCGCCTTTCCAGATGTTGAAGCTTGGGAGGGGATGGGTTCTCTCGACTTGCTGACTGCGCAGCGCACAGGCGGTCCAAGAAACAAACCCACACGCATTAGATCCCAAAGGAGGAAAAATGATACCGCAATAGAGAGAATGTGGGAAAAGTGAATCTGCAAGGCTGCTGCCAGGCACAGACGTGGCTGGGCAGATAAGACATTAGCTTAACTGCCAAATCTGCCCTACTCGCTCATTGCGAAGCGGTGATGACGAACAATGCAACAAATAGACTTGGACACTACTGCAGGCACAGACTGCGACCGCACCCAATGCAAGCACGGACAGAAACATTGCCAGTCCCAGCGAATAAACTTGACTGCCAACATGCATCGGCCCTTCTCAACCTCGATGATCCGGGTCAGTCGGGGGGACAGCTAAGTAGCAAACGTACTATAGCAAATCCAAAAAACAAAATTGAACTTCAACGCCTATGTTCATATCAAAGAACGGGAGCCAACCAGTGTAATCATCAGCTAATCTGAGTGATCGTCGCTTCACGACGCTCTTGACACAACCCAAACCTCCCCCCTCCACACGCGCTTGCCGTCGTCGCCTCCCCCTCTCCCTCCTACACCGTCTTCTTACCCCTCGTTGTGGGGAGGGGGGGCAAGGAGGGAAGCAAAGTCATCCGTTCTTCACCGTCCGTCTGTTCTGATCTTCGGGCATCCGCATACGCTCACCACCTAGCGCATCTCACAAAAGCATCGAGATGGCTCAGGTACTCTCATCTTTCGTTAGACCGTTTGGCCTGATCTCGTTTCCCCCGTTGGCTGTTGGCATCTCGTGCTTCCTCTCTTCTCTCTGCTGAACAAACACGACGCTGCTGTTTCGAATGATACTGACTTGCCCAAAATCCCATTTCCTCCTCTGTTTCTGTTTTCCCATCATCTCGTGTGTGCGTGATTGTGGCGTGCCTCTCTGCTCATGTCACCTCGGCCTCCAACCGTCTTCATCTCCTCTTCACAAGCCAAGATGGGGGCCGTCATCCGAAGCATAGGTCGGTTAGATCGCTGAACAGGTAGCCGACAACTCCCCAGAACAGAGAAGTAACAGCAGCGCAGTCCCAAATTTGAAGAAAGAGAGAAAACAGATTAGCTACCGGGTATCTGATCAAAACTACTGAATGGCGGTTGATAGCTGGAATGCCATCGAGATGTCCCTCCCCCGAGCCCGGCTAACGAGGAAGACTGAAGGGGGGGCACACCCGACATTGAGATCCACCGACAAGACGTCCGATCCATAGCCATCTCCAACCGCGTAATCCGCCCAAGCAGATGACCTTCACCGAGAGCAGCCCTCTCCCGTTGAGCCTCTAGGAAGCACTGAATGAACGGGGGCACCTCCAGCTGGATGCAGACTTCCCGTCTCCCCATTTTACCCCCATTTGACGGATGGTGCCGAAACCCATAGCCAAGGTCGTCAACAACCGTCAGCAGCCATCATCACCAACCCCAGTAGCCGCGCCATCTCGATGAGACGAGAGAGCTGCAGCCTGTATGATGGGAAAACGGGAGGGCCCCAATCAAAGGTAAATAACGGCGACGGTTGCTGAACGTGGGCCCGATTAACATGCTGCGTGCCCCTGATACCCCTTTTAATGGAAAAAGGTCTATTTGGTCGGAGGGTGTGTTGGTGTTGGCGTTGGTAGGGATGGCATGAATGCAGGCTGAAGGGGAGGGGAGGGATGTACAGATACCTCCGCCAGGAGAGAGATGCTCACCTGTGAAGGAGATCAGCAAGAAGACGGGAAGAGCAGAAGCGTGGGAGGGTGAGGCAGAGACTTCAGTGGTTGACACGGGAGACAGCCTAGGAGCTCGGACTGGGCAAGCAAGCCATTTCACACGCTGCTGCTGCACGACATCGTCCCGTGCTCATGGATGAGGTGTTACTAAAGAAAGTCAATGTGTAAGTCGGACTATAGTTATCCCAAGTGCCCCTATTAATTGCCGATAACCTTGTTATCAAGGCTGACTGGAGTGTCAGAGCGAGAACATCACGATGCAAGGCTGGGCGTAGATTTCCGACGCCATTTTCTTGAGTTTTCTTAGTTCTGTGACTCTCCCTTTTCTCCAAAGGTTTAAACAATTCTAGTCTCTGTACATGATATCCTCCTTAATATGTGTCCTTACTAATGTATCCTTCCCGAGCTCGACGGTGTTCGTCGGACTTTACCCTCAAAGCGAGGGTTGTCTTCAAAAGTACAATTTCTGTTGTGTCGAGCTGCGAGCTCTTACATGACTTTGATGTCTCTTCTAATGCAATCCTTGAACAAAACTGTGCAGCAGCAAAACCAAAAAATCAGACGACTTCTCCTATCATGTCGGTCTTTCTCTTTCGCCGCCATTCTCGGCTCGGCGTTTACCAGAGCATCATCCTTTGCTCGCGAGTACTCCTTCTGTGTGTTCCATGGCTTCAATGCTCCTGGGAAATCCGTAGCCTGGCGGCTTGTGTAAACACTGTCCATCCGGCTTTGTGGCTTGTCCGTAAAGGGGGTCGATGAAGTATATCTCATGGTGGACACACGAGTCCCTCGTGAAGAGTCCGATATCTCCAGATAGTAAGCAGCGGCGGCGATCCTCACCCTACGAGGATCGGCGCGCTGTTCATGACGAGCCCGATGCACTTGCATCTATGGCTGATGGCAATCCAGTGTTGTAACATATTATGTCTGTAAGTGTCACAGGTCAGTGGACTGCGTCTTGTGTTGTGTAGTGACGGGCTTTTACGGACCAAAAAACGTGTGATTCATCCAGCCTGGACGAAATTTCCGTGGAAGGGAGCCTGCTGGGGGCTCAGGGTCTGTCCGATCTTTCCCATGGCAGAGAGGTGGTTGTGGGCATCCTTGATGAGCTGGAGGTTCTTGACATCATCGGGCTGGGTGAAGCCGCGGACGAGGTCCTCCAGGGCCTGGCGATGGGACATCCACTCATCAACGAGGGGCTTGGTCGACTGCTCCTCTTTGATGGCAGCCTCGACAATGGCAGCCTTGGCAGTGACCTTGCGGGAGGTAGGGGCAGGGGCAGCCTTGGGCGCGTCCTTGCGCTTGCGTCCCTTGGCGACCTGCTGGCCGCTGGAAGCGGTGGTAGGAGATCCGGGGACACCGTTGTCATTGTGGACACGGCGCATGTGGTCCTTGAGGTTCCATTGGCGGGGGAATCCGTTGCCAGGCATCGCACGATCGCATCCATCATAGGAGCACAAGAAGGGCTTGTCACCGTGGCCGTGCATGGCGTGGGCCTCACGCTCGTGACGGAGAAGGCAGGCAGTGGAGGAGAAGCGGGCGTTCTCGCATGACTCAATCTTGCAGCGGTAGGGCTTCAGGTGGGAGTCGACAAACTTGCTGTAGAGGGGACAGACACAATCGTTAGTCATGCAAGGGAAAGGAGGCATGCTGACATATTTCCAAAAAGGGTCGACTCACTCATAGTTGCACTTGAGCTTCTCGGGCTTGTGGTTGCAGCTGGATTCTCCCTCCCAAGGGCAGTGGAACAGGCCATCGGCCTGAGGAGTGGCGTTCTTGTACAGAGGGTGGTCCCGAGCAGAGTCACCGTCGTTGGTGTTACGGCGGCTAGGGAAAGCCGGAGGCAGAGCAGCATCGCCGACGATGGTGAGGACGCTTCCAGAGAGTTCATCGCCCATGAGCTCAGGGCCAAACTTGCCGTTGGCGCTGTAGATTGATGCCGAGTCAGAGGCTTGCTCGAGGGAGCAGCTGATCTGAGGAACATACCTAGGAGACTGGCTCTGAATGATGGGAGAAACGTGCTCCGAGTGGGAAGGCGAAGACATGAGAGGGGCGGACAGCCACAACTCCTCAGGGGTCTGAGCAGGAGAAGACAATTGGGATTCCGCGGGGCTGAAAGAGTTCCAGGAGGCAGAAGGAGAGTGAGCTCCAAGGCTGGAGTCAGGGTCCAGCTGCATCTGAGCAGGCACGACGTGCATAGTCATGTCCGTCTGGGATGGAAGGCCATCCACGATTCCGAGCTCCATGGAGTTAAACCACTGGGACGAGACGGCGCCCGTATCCGATTCCAGGAAGTAAGAGTTCACGTCCATCAACTGGCCGTTGGTCTGAGGTCCGTAGACAGTAGCATTACCCGTAATGTCCATGGAGGACAGCTGTGCAGATACTTGAGATGACGCAGAAGAAGTCATTCTGGGTCTGGCCTTGGGAGATGTGATCTTGGAGATTCTGTGTTGCTTGCGGCTTCCAGTGGAACTCCTCGAAGTTCCCCGCCTCATCGGCTCGCCACCGACAGGCGCCACGGTCGTGGCAGGTGCGCGAGCAGTCCACTTGCTCTGAAGGTCCTCAACGGCTTGTCCTTGTCCTCGGGGCGTGATGTGGCCTTCAACTTGGAAAGAAAAGTCCTCGGAGTCTCCCGGGTGGGCAGATCCGTTGTCTGAGAAGTCTTGGAAGTTCTGTGCACCTTCTCCTGTCGTTTCCCACGAACCACTCAAGGGGTCCGATGGTCCTGTTTGAGAAGAAAAGGAAAACATTCCTGAAGGCACCATGCCGGCGTGGAAGAAGCTGTAGTCGCTGAAGGGGAGGTTAGTGTGCTGTTTCACCACTAATCTTTGAGAAGATGCAAAACAAGAAATGAAGAAAACATCTCGACATGGCACAACTTTGTTCCTGTAGCACCCGTCATGTTAGCTGTCGTTGCTTTGTCTCACGGGTTTGGGGTTTCGTGTTGACAGACCAAGTGAGCACAGATCATATAGATCAAGCCGGGATATATCATGTAGTCCGGGATGTCAGGTGCGGTGGTCGATCCAGTTGGGAAGTCCGGAAGGTCAGACAAATGAAAGTCCTTTGCGGCCAAGTGAGTGTTCAAGGCTCCTCGTTGTTCTCCAGGCACCCAGGCATGGGTCTTGGTTCGGTCATTTCATACTTCCCACAGCGGAGGTCGAGGTTGGAAATTTCATTGGTCTCCTGACGCCGAGTTGTATCGTCTGGTGCAGCTGAGTTCCTTGGGTCGATAAGATCCTTGGGTTAGAGTCCAGCTGAAGTAACAAGTCCATTTGAATGCGACAATGGGTCGAGACAAAGTCCATGAGGCTGGAGAGCCCGGGTCGAAGAAGAAGTCCGTAGATCAGAAACAGAATCGAAGCAAAGGGAAATCCATAAACAGAAGAGACGGAACCAGCCATGTGGGTGCAAGGAGCGATAAAGCCTTGGTCCATGTCGGGTTGTGACCAGCACGAGCTGAATTAAGCTTGACTGGTACACGGGAAAACAAACACGGAGTGTTTATTTCAGCGTTCATCCTAGGAGTCCGATCCAAATGCGAGACTGGGCAGTCTCTAGTCTCGGGCGAGACTTTGTCCACAAATCCAGGGAGTAAAAAATTCCACGGTTCAAGCCAGTCATAAAAATCCAGTTCTCGCGAAACGTCCAATGGGTCCATGTTGTTGCAAAATCCTGAGTCGTCGACAGGCGATACTAACCATGGTATAAGTGTGATGATAGATAATTCTTTGTGTGATGACCGTTCGGTTTGACAAAGTGCATAGGGCGAGGCCCAAGCACACCGGTCTCCTTCCAGTTGGCAAGTCAAGCAGGTATTCCTGGGAAGAAGTTTCCGGGCAAGAGAGAGAAAGTCCTGGCAAGTATCCTCGGATGAAGTCCTGGGCTGAAGAATCCTGGGTCGAGATGTCCTGCATGAAAAGGCCTCCGTGGCAGGCGAGATCTGAGAAGCAGACGCAATGAAACAAACATGACTTTCGCAGTACAGGATTTCAAAAAGACAATGGACCACCCTGGGAACAGAGAAAGAAAAGACAATACCTAGAAGGTGTGTGGACGTCGTCCAGGTCAAGGTTGTAGCCAGGCATATCCGGGCGCGGAACAACAAGAGCAGTCATTGATTCCTTGGGTTGTATATCATGCAATCCAGGGCAGTAAAGTCAACTCGGATGAGCTGTGTCGGTGTACAGAATAACAAGAGCGATAACCCGGGCGGGTAGCTGCTTGCAGAGTTCCTGTGGAAAGGGGAAGTCGAGTTGGTGTCGTATGGGATGATCCTTGGGTGGCAAGATGGGGAAGATCTTTTTTGACCTTCTGTGTAGGGTTGCTGTTGTGTAAGGGTTGGAAGGGACGTAGGCGGGTAGAAAAAGAGAAATTGGCGGCTGTTGGGTTGCCAAAAGGATCAGCTTTGCAGTAGGCAGAATGCTTGGGCAGGAATGTTCTTGCGTGTTGGGCTGAAAGGAAGGGAAGAGAAACGACGTTGGGCAGGGAGAGAGGGGGTCAGCGGGTTTTAATGTTGCAGGACGACGACGAAGGCTTCTGAGAGCACAGCAGAAGCGAACGAACGAGATGAGGTTTGCGAGGGGGTCGGTCGGGGAGGGGAGGATTCGGGGTGGACTCCACGTCGTGCGTGCCATGCCGCATGCCCTGCTGGCACTCATGATCCCTGTTCCCGAAGCATTGGCACCTTTCATTCTGCAGGGCGGATGTGCTTGATGTGCCAGGCCAAGAAACCACCATCACATACGTGCGCAGCATGCAATGATACGTATGGATACGTATTTGGTCTTGATTGTCCACCACTCATTTCCAGCGCCAGCCCGTCTCGCGCGTCTCAATCAGTCTCATTTCGCTGCCGCCGTGTTTATTGAAAGCCGTGTCCTTTCCCTGGCCAGAGTGTCTGGACTCCCGCCCTCCAACACAGGCCGACTGGCAGAGAATGCACGTCGAGTGTGTCGTGTTGCTGCTGCCGGCCGTCACAATGGCCGCAGCATGCCCTCGAGCTATTACATGGCGCTAGCCAACTGGCCTCGTTCTGACTGCTCACTGCACCTGTCATAGGCCCGTTCCGAGGGGAAGTTGGCGGTGACTGGGCCTTCTGCCTTGATTCTGCTGACTTGGACATGGGCCGCGGGTGGACACAGACGGCGACCCTGAGCCTATCGCGGTGCGAGGAAACCCTAGTCGTGCCGGCCAGGAGGGATTATGGCTGCAACGCCAGCTCATCCGTGCAGCACCCTGAGCGTGCTCGGCGGGAAAACGAAGCCAGCCATGGGCCAGCAGCGAGCCAGAAGGACGCAGAGAAAAGAAAAGAAGGCGGCAGGCTGGACGAGTCGTGACGGGCTAATGCTTGCTTTCTGCGAGCCCTTCATCTTCTCCGCCATCCGCACCACGCGCGGAACTTGCTCGTCCCATCAAGCTTGGTGTCTCTGCGCTGCCCTGCCTTGCGTTGCGTTGCCCGTCTGCGCGCGTTCCGAATTTCCCATCCCATCCCATCCCATCACAAGCCGCCCGCCCGTCCCATGCCGTCCCAGAACCCCTATTCCCTTGCGCCATCCGTCGTAAATGCCTCCCGTTTCCAGTAGGTTCGTCGAGCATCAAAAAAGTCATGGCGCGATTGTGGACGTACGCTTTGACGCATCAATCAGAGCCGTCTGCTTGAAGATCGAAGCGGCCCACCGGGCAGAGGAGGAGAAGGACGACATGTGTGTCGACGAAAAAAGACGCAGCAGGACGAGCCAGAGCCAATGCGGACTGCATTGGCGTCTGTAGTCGCACCCCAAAGCCGCCGACGCGGGCGGGAACTGCGGAAGCCAGGCCGGCTTGTCAGCCCGTCAGTGCCTCGTTCTCGTGTCTGGTCGTCGCCCATCAAGCACCGTGTTGCTTGCTCTATTGGCGGTTGTGGCTTCACGTGTGTAGTCCCGAGTTGGTCTCGGCGGGCTTGATAGGACAAGCTGCAGTCGCTGACACACACCGGTCAACGCTCTCCATCTCGACTTTCCCTCATCCGACGGCAGTGCTTTTGGCGTGTCCAACGGCCACTGGTTCGGGGGTCGAGCTGTGGTCGGCCGGCCACACACCGGCAGCAGCACACCACACCGTAATCACAACACCACCCACCATCTATTAATTGCAGGCCACTTTCCTCCACCCACGAGACAGCAACGGCCGGACATCAGATGCAAACGCGCTTCGCGACGTGAATAACCGGTTACTGCCAGCTGGCTTGCTGCTGCTGCCGCTGGCAAACCGGAAGCGGTCCACGCCAACCACTTCGCAACTCTTTTCGCGATAATGCATTTGCGTAGTGCATGAGAAATATGCGGCGTGGGGCCAGGTGGTCACCTTGCGACATTATCCAGCTGTCATGCTCATCGTACCATGATCGAGATGCCGCGACTGCGATGGCTTGTCGTGCGCCGTGATGTGATCCCGAGAATCCGAGTCGACAACCAGGCAATCAGGATAAGCAAGCCGGAGCAGCAGCAGTCGTCGTCCATCTCCGAGTTCCCCGGCTGGGCTGGAGGGAAAAGCTGCCCCGAGCTCCACACGTTGTCTGAGTAGACGCTGACGGTCTGACAATGGTGAAGCTGGCCGGTCTTGACTTTGAGGCCAGCATGCGGTTGAGACGCGGGGAACCAGTGTTGAAGGGTCGTCTCATGCGAGATGGCTGAAAAGCTGACGTTGGCAGACACGGGACGAGGGGTGGGGGATTGGGAAACGGGCGACAATGTGCGACGACGGCGCCCGTTGACGAGCGGATGCATTAACGATGGGACGAGACAGCAAGCAGCCTTGGCCATCGAAGCGCAAACAAAGACCACCTCACTCGGAAGCAACTGCCTCGATCTCTGCCCTCCCTCCTTCCCCGGGACAGGAAACAAGGTTCAACCTCCTCACCTTCGCTTGCCCCGTCCTGGTGATCTGCCTCACCTTTCCCACTGGTCATACATATCGAAGACGAGAGGCAGGGAAGCGACGTCGACACTTCCCAAGACGTCCTCACAACCAGCCTGAGCTTCCTGCTGATTGCGGGCGGATAGAGCTCCGGCTGTTTCCTCCTGGAAACACCCGACCGCCTTACCGTGACGCTCGTGTGGCCCTAAACAAGCACCCGCAACCTTACCTTAGCCAACCTAAGCCACCCGTCTTGATCAACGACCTCTCAACCACAGCCTCTAACACAAACCTTTTCCCGACTAGCTAGCTTCTATCCGTACTTGCCTAGTCTTCTGCGATGCCCTCCTCAACATTGCAGAGTCCACCCTGATGACGCATAGAGTACACGCAACGCCTGCTGCGCCAACGGGTACGCATAGAGCAAAGAGGAACAGCTCATCGCTCATCTCTGTCCTTAATGCATCTGTATCACAGGTCTAGGGAGTGCTTAACTCCTCCTTGACTCAGGGGAAATGCTGATGGTGGCTTCTGGAACCACACGTGACCTTCAACCTCCAGCGACAAGCAACATCGAGCTACACCACCAGTCACGGAAACTCTGGAACTTCCAAGTACCGACAAAGTTCCGCCACAGCTTCTCTCCCTCAGTGGAATTTGGAGCTGAGGTGGTTGGGAGCTCGCCGTCATCTAATCCCTGTCAGGATTTCGCGCCAGCAAAGTCTGTTACGCTCGGCCCTCGGCAAACGCTCTTGAGGCCCCCGAATTCCCAGTCAGAAGATGAGGGGATTCGCAGGTTTGACGATCCTCCCCTGGCAGATTCGACGGCGTGTTACGGATTTTGAAATCGCATTTCGTCTCCTCGGTTTTGTGGGAACTTCTTCACAATTTGAACCATTTACAGTGATTCATTACTTTCGGCCGTCGGACCGCCGAAATACACTATTGCAAATAAGGTGAATGTGCGCGCCCGTCGGCCTGGGTGCTTCCGACGCACAGCGCAGATCCAAATCTCGGTGTGCCGGCTATCTGACTCAGTCACCACCACCAACTGCTGTCTCGGGATTCGACAAAACGTTCCTCCGGTATCAAACCCTGCTCTTTCGCCAACGCCTCTGTGATGATGATGCTATCCTCAGATTGACCGACAACACAATGGCGATGAAGCGACGGTGGAAGTGGGCTTATCTCCAAGGACTTCGCCGATGAGTTTGGAAGCGAGACTGAGTGCATCTTAAACAGTACCGCGACCACTCACATCAAGTACATCAGTCTGTTTATTTCGACCTGATATCGCATCTTGCCAGATATCTCGCAGTCGACTTTCGGCATCCGATCCGTCCGTCCACGCAACTTCAGCGAGAGCCGCTTTGGCTTGCTCCCAGTTGCTTAGATGCATCACGGTGCTAGCTAGAGAGAGTTTCGCGGCATACACAGCCTTCCACTTTGCCAGCTGTTGCTTGCCTGTGTCAGTAATGGGCCTGCCTGAATTGGCGATGGCCGCACCAAACATGACACTCCAGAACCACAGACTCCTACTGAAGGAGCCTGTCATCATCTCTGCTTCTTTGTCGCACACGTCATCAATGAGCTGCTCAAGCAGCCAGACCGTTAAGACACAGTCCATCTCGCTGTCGTTCACCGCCATGACGAGGTAGAAAAACGTTGCGATGTAACTCGCGCGGCTGCTCTTAGGATCACCGTTCAACATCGTGGCTATGTTGCGCTCAGGGTCAAAGCCACGGGATAGCTCCCAATTGAGATTCTTGGTGTAGTCCTGCCAAAGCAAGTCCGTTGGGGTCTCTGCCCCTTCCCACCAGCCGTATTTCGGTGCCTGTCGTGGAGGTAGGCTCTCCATGTCCCATAGCGAGGTGAAGAGCAAAGCGATGATGCTTGGCTGGAAATCGACACTGATGGCGTCGTGTATGACATGGACTTCACCACGGCGTAGACGGTCTCCTGCCCTACATTCATGTCAGCTATAGAGATCCAGCATGCCTCCGGAAGATGGACTTGTGTTACATGTCCAGCATCTGCTGCGCCAAGTTTGACCGCATCAGATTGTACCCATTCTTCTGGAGTGTTAACCTATACAGACCGCGTAGATGCTTGGATGACGCATCAAGGTCCCCAACCGCACCCTAAGGTCCGTCAGTACTGGTCTGGCCGCAAGTTTTCGGATTTTAAGTGGTGTACCTCTGTAAGTGCTAGCGTGGCAATAGCAAAGACGGCAATGTCGCTGACATCAGTCTCAGACTCTGACAGCTGCTTCTTTGCGAACTCGTATGCTGCTGCCTTGTGGTAGAGAAAGGGGACTTTGACATGCTCAAGTGATCCTGTGACCCAAGCCCACTGGCACGCCGCGACCACTAGGCAGCCATGAAGCAGGCCTGGATGCAACAAAGTCCTCTGAACACTGCCCGACATGTCAGAGCCAACATCTTGTCTGCAAACAAAGTCGATTGCCTACCTGCACAGATTCTGGCCTCGTTCCACGGGAGTCTGTCCTCTGACATAGAAGTTGGTAACTGAGCTTTCGGTCAGGGAGGTAGCAAAATGGTAGCGGGTGACGCGACTTACATTGATGGAAGAGCCATTGTGACATTTCCGAGAGTTGATAGTCGCCGGAGAAGCCGGCGAATGGCTGATAAGACAGGACGTTGACAAGGCGAGCCGACTCCGCGACCGGGATCAAGGCAGCCGACTCGGACTCGGCCCGAGACTCTGGAGTAGACTCGGCATCAATGACGGGGTCGGGGTAGATGCAGTCCTTGCCCGTCTGGAGACAGTTGGTGCTGCGGGCATTGTTAGTCGATTGCTGGGCTTGACAGGCAGATTCCGGATCGATCTTTTCATCACAGGCATTGTCTCCGCCAAGACGGTAGGCATAAACAAAAAGAAAGGGGGGGAGGTGTGAAGACAAGGTAGGGATAAGGAAGGACATACCATAGTGGCTTGCGCTCATCGCAGCGGACGTGACGCTGCTTACATGTCGAGCAGCCGTTTTTGCTACGGCGGTGGAACTTGCGGACTCTGTTCTTGGGGGGCGCCATATCAAGTCCAAGGTAGGTTTCGGTGTCAATGATGCTCCACGCAGTCCCGGGGGTTAAATCGACGCCGATTGACCATGCTTGATGAAATGACGACGGTTATGCGGACCAAATCTCGACTGATCTTGCAGGTGCATGAGACCAGGCCGGGGGGTCAGCTCTGAGGGACAAGTGTGAGGTGATGCGAGAGGGAAAAGCTCTCGTGATAGGGAGATGGGATCGGGAGACAGGAAGCCTCTGGCCCGAGAACGTGTTTCTTCATTTTATTCAGCCTTCTGGTTGCGGTGCCGGCACGAAGGCGTTGCTGACGATGATGATGATTGGCCTGGACTGCCAAGCGGGAGTTGCTACACGAGACGTGCATGAAGACGTAACCAATGGGAAAGCTAGGAGGTCATCTGGTGGGGTCGCCTCTCGTGACTACCTGACAATTATGTAATGTTGCTAAGCTCAAGCCACTTGTCAACCCAACCTCGGTGTGGCTGGGCATCTAGACCGAGAAGCCACAACCTGGAGAAGGGCCGTGTCTCCCTCCGTCTTTGGAAACGGCAACTGCTGCTCTCGCTTCAGATGCGAAACCCTAGGAAGGCACGATAGCACGGCAATTCTCTCCTTGTCTGCAGAACTTGCAGCTTGTCAACCACAGAGTCTTGCAGTCCTCCTCCCCTCCTTCTCCTTCTATTCATCTGATCTCCGAAAACACAGAAGATCGATGCTCTAATCCAAACACAGCAAACGATCCACAAGCAATTATCGGCCTCTCCAGGCGTCATCTCTGGCATCAGCGTCGACCCTGGTCTGTCAGATTCGTACGCTCAAGCGACGTCCGTGAAATAGTGTTGTTCCATGCCCGAGCATCGAACATCGTCGAACATGCTTCCATCGCTGGCTGGATCGCTCCGCTTCCACCCACCAGGCACCACCAGGGCCCGTGGCCGTCATTCCAATAACAATCGGATAATTTCTTCCGATCAGGAACCCGCGACGGGGGCGCTCGATTGGGTGCCCTGTGTCGCGCCGGGGTCGAGACAGGGTGCCGAAAAACAGATGGCCGCATTGACACCCACGGTAAAAGTGACCGGTCACGCCCCTCCGAATCGCCAGATTTTAAGTGGAACACACCGGCTGTGATTTCGGCCTTGTCATGCGCATTTCGCGGTGCCATGCGTGCCATCCCGGCCTGCTCAATGCCCGCAAACATGGTCTGCCCAAGTCATTTTTGCTGTTCGTCTCGGCCGGTCTGGCTCTCGACTCTCCAGACACCCGCCGATGGGAACCACGCGAAACAATGCTGCAAACCCGACCACCCTTGACCTGTCTCAATGCACAGAGCCAGCAGCTCTCCCTCCGCTCCCTCACACACACACTCACACACTCACACACTGCACAGCCTCTCCACCTCAGTGTTTGGTGCTGGCTTGGTGCTACACTGTCACAGACGGGACGGATACTCACTCACTGTCGCCCGCAGAATCCACGGCAGCCCTCTGTCCCGAACTCCTTGAAGGAGAGGAGTCATGTTCGTCGACACAGAACGCGGGGTGAAGGCGTGTTGCGTCCATCTACCGAGTCGTGCGGAGAGCATCTGAGATGTGAGCTGAAAAACAAGCGCGCAGTTGATCAAAGTGCCAACGCCTAGCGAACAACGTCATCTTAATTTGGCAACATGATCGTCCCGCGGAATCCCCGCAAACCACGAGGCGGCGCTTGACAGCTCATCAAGAGACGAAATAGCTTGTCCAACCCCTCCTCCACCGCACGCAACTGTTGGGTTGAGGCGCTCGGTTGCCATTCACTGCACCCTGAGATCGATCAAATCTGCCTCCGTACATCATGCACATACAGTACACACAGAGATTGCCGGCGATCGTCCGACAACCCTCGCTTGCCCTTTGCCCTTGGGTTTTCTTGCTCAGTTCGAATCGTTGAGGTTATCGACAACCTTCCCAGGATACTAGGGTTTACCGAGGCGCACGTCATCCCGCCCTATTCGCCCTGGGGCCTGGTCGGCGGTTGTCGATGTCGAGTCGATGCCACGGACGATGGACGACACTAGTCACTCGCAGCCAGCCGAACGACCGGCCTTCGAACCACTCGCTGCCCCCCCAAAAGTCTCCCCCCAATTCACATCTCCAGCCCCATCAACTCCATTTCTGGGATTCTTGGGCCCTGGTTCCCTGCCCCAATACAAGACAAGACAATACCAGCTTCACTTCGCTACGTCAAGGTCAGATCATTCATCGGTCCAACACACACTTGTCACCGAGGGTCCCCCAGCTTTTTCGTCTCTGTTGCACTGTTCTATTCGAGGTCGACGTCTTGGAAAATTGGCAGCCCGTCAGCAGGACGACTGCCGGATTGTCACTGCGGGCAGAGACACTGGATGCAACACAACCATTGGCTCCATCAACCCCCCGGGCTATGTTGAGATGCCTGTGATGCTCGCCGGTCATTGACAGTCCCTGATTCAATGATGCGCCAAAAGCAACTCCAATTCACCAAAGTGGGCATCAAGGCATGGTTGGGCTCACAAATACAGGCGGTAGCGCGCGTCCCCTTCCCCCTCTTCATCGTATCCGCCGCCGGTGTTTGTTTGTCCAATTTGTGCCCAACCCGGCCTGCTGTCACCGCTTCTTCTCCCGCTAGGTACAACCCTGCACAAATCATCCCATCCGGTACCGAAAAGCTACTCCGACCTTTCGGGCAACAATTCTCCAGCCCAGCAAAGAAAAAGTTTCTGTCACAGCCCAATCGGTGCCCTACTCTACACAATTGGCCCCGTCGACTTCGTCAGGAGTTGGCAGGGCCAATGGCTTTCACGCGCGAGCCAATACAGCCCGGCCATAAGATTTATTTTCCATCTGGGGTATTCCTGGTGAGAGGGGCCAACTGTCAAAAAGTCGACCTGGCATCGCGCCAAAATAGAGGGGACAGGAGGGCACCAGCCATCAAAGGGCACGCTGATCTCCCCTCGTTCGCTTACTCGCCTATCCTGTCGTGTTCACCTCGCAAATCCGAAAAGCAAGGCTCGCCAGCCAAGGGATGGATGCCAACTTCCAGTAGGGCGGCAACACCGTGGTGAACCCCAATCTATCCCAGGACGCCCGACGGACGAACCTTCTCGACTACAGCGCTTGGCAGTCACGTATCCTCTAGCCTATGCGGCACCCGTCTGCTTGAAACCAAAGACGTCTCCGTGGTGTTGGCCATTGGGGCGAATGCAAATCTTTACTCGAGTATCGCCGGCTTGCGTCTCTCCTGGTCCCTGTTCACCCTCCGCCTCGACTCTTCCCAACGGACCACCTCCCCTTCAACCCTCAAAACCAGGGATCAACCATTTTCGCCGCCCGGTACCACGCCCCACGAGGAGGGACATCGCAAGCAGACATAAAATGCCTCCATTCCGAACTTAATCATCCACTGTCAGGATCCTGCCCGCTCCCCCATCCTCGTCCATCCCAGGAACTTGTTGGTTTCTTCTTTCCCGTTTTGCTCCAGCAAGACCAGAGGGATTCTTCCACTAACCCCCCTAGTGTCTCTTCACCTAAAGCCTTTCCCGAGCGTCTTATAAGTCACTTAAGGTGCTGTCGTGGAGACAAGTCGTTTCTTGGACCGATCACCTGCTTTACCCCCCAACATCCACACCGCCCTTGCAATCCGACCCGGACTTCTTCAAGGGTACCATCCTAGAACAAGACCGTTTTTGTTATCGTGGATTCCCTTGTGTTTGAGGAGACGTCTTGCCGCATTTTCCCAGGAATACTTGGCCCGAGATCACAGCCCAAGGGACTCTTTTTTGGACACCCGGGGCTGACCTGCCCGCCCAAGGACTATTCTTATTTCACGTGGCTTCCATCTCTGGACTTCTTGGAATCCTCCAAGTCTGTTGCTTGATTTCTTTTCTCTACCGTTATGCCCCCGGAAGATATGGCCCAGCCGGATTTTGCCTACAGACCATCAGCCATGTCCAACGGACCGTGGAACTCGACGCGGAGGTACGGACCGTTCCCTAAGTCTCATGACGTCCCGAAAAGGACAGGAGAACTGACCGATGAGAAAAGTTCAATGTACAACGATACATTTCCGCCTGCCGGAGGGTTTGAGAATGGTTATTACCGTTCATCTAGGTAAGAACCAGACGCCGATGCATTCTGTCATTTTTCTTTTCCACGGAGCAACCAAATAACACCAAGCCTTCAAGTGTGTCAACATACTCTCCCGGAGCCAGTAGTTACAACCTCCCGATTGGGACCAATCCTCACGCAGCTGCTGCCGCTGCCGCCCCGGCGTACGGATCATCACGGCCAGCATCTGGAACATACGGCACCAGTGGTGCCGGTGGTTATGGCTCGTACAAGGGTACAGCCTCGGCCTCCCAGGCCTGGGATCACCAGGAAAGATATTCCCCGACGGACTCAGTCGACGACATCATCGCTTCTCCGAATCTCTCTGATTACTCGCTCGAGAATGGAACGGGTGCGACGCCTCCAAATAAAGGAGGCAAAGTGAGTGGGAAGGGTCGGCCCCAACGTCGACCATCGAACCGGGACGAATTCGACGGGCCGCATCAGTTCCTCGCTCGCCCGCCCCCCGAGTACATCGCCATGCAAGAACGCGAATTGCCGCACCTTCCGACGAACTTGCATGTCCAAGAGCAGGACCTGGTTCTGACACAGGTTAACGACCGGCTCTCTCAGTGCGCGTATGACTTCGTTGCGAAATACCAGTTCCCCATCCCTTTGACGCAGGACATGAGGCCTGTAGAGCGACCTCAAGACAGGGAATGGACGGAATGGGTCTATCTTCTAAAGCGGTTGGCAACCAAGCGCCGTATCCCGGCCCGTGTTCTGTACAACGGCCAGATCAAGCAATTCGTCACGATTCTCGAGAACTCGCTAGAGATGCGACACGCAGCCAAACACCAGAGCCGCCCACTGAAGGACGACCGCAACATCTTACAGCTCATTTCGGCGGGTATCCAGGTGGCCAAGATTCTAAAGGACGCAAGCGCCATGGACTATCTCGACCGACTATACGTTTCTACGGAGAAGCAGATACAGGATCGCGCGGCAACACGATTCAGAACGTGATCTTGTTCGTCGTGCTTCCTCCACTCTCCACACACCATTTGCCCCGAATCGGACTTCACAACATCGTTGACCATACCCAACCATGAGACGAGCGATTTGAATTTTCGACGATGAGAAAAAGGGGCACTAACGATTTATCTACGGAACTTAACGACGGAACTTGAAAGTGTTTATACTGGAATTTGCAATATGGTAACAGGCGAGGATTCTTCTCATTCCTTAGAGGGGACAGAAGAGAGAATGTAGATGACTTGATACGGAACCGGGGGGCGTCACGAATGGACGAGAAGCCCAAACCCCCTTCAAAAGACACGACCACGACGGAAAGCCCACAGCTAGCTTAGCTCCCTCAGCTCCCTCCCCATCACTTGGCAATCGGGTGTGTGTGTCTTGTTTATGTTTATTTGTTTGTATGGAAATGGTAATGATGCTCACATCCATGGTCGGGCAAGCTTTTTGTCACTACTACCACTACTACTGCTACTAGTCTTGCCGACAGAGCAAGAGAGAAAGAGAAAGACGGACGAGAATTTTATCACCCTACTTCCCCCCTTTACGAGTTGGATTCGCAAGCGAAAAGGGCATTTTTGGCATGCTACAGGGAAGCGATGGGCGCTCAGGGCTTGGTCATTTGAGGAGACAGATAACCTCTTGTCTTGCTGTACATCGTTATTATCTTCTGGTTCTTTCCCCCTTCCTCTCCCTGTTTCCTCTGTTCCTGCACTGCCATGGCGCGCGAAGGGGTCTTGGAGTTCGTCTCGATGGTTTTGATACGCTTTACTTATACTGGGGATGTCTCCACACACAACAGGGTCGGCTGTTTGATACTACTACTACTCGGTGTGCGAGCGCGCTTGTTGAGGATGCAGGAATCTGGACAGATATCCCTACTAGTCTTTTCTTCCCTCGCTGACGCTTGCTATTTTTTGTAACTGGGTTCGGGGCGGCTTAGATGAATCTTTGGTAGTTTGATATCCCCATCACAGCCCAGGATTGGGCGTGAGCTTTACTCTACTCTCTCACGTGGCGGCCAAGAATTTTAACTCGAGTATTGTTCATGATACGGCCCCTGGCGTTAAATGTCGTGAACGTCACCACTTGGCTTCAACGGAAAAATAGACTGAACCGTGCGTATCCAGGAAGAAGAGAAGGGGGTAGGGGGCGAGAGAATCGACCAGCGGTCTGCTCCGTCTGCCCCCCCGTACGTGGTAATAGGTCACGCCCGCGGAAGGTCGGGGAGAACGGCCAACGTCGTTGGGCTGAAATGAACCGGTGATCATCAGCCGATAGGATCCTGCTTCCGTGCCTGACGGGTGGCTTGGCCTCGGTGGGAGAGACCTGCCAGGGGTACACTCCTGACGGGGGGCACTTGCTATCGCTGAAGGCTTGGTTCTTCTTCTTCCCTCTGTGCTCAGCCAAACCAAGGAACTGGAGGTTGGTGAACGGAAGCGCCAGTGCTAGGGTTTGAAAGAGACCGTGATGTCGCATCCCGCTTGATGGGTCACCCGGGGAAAGATGGAGGGAGGGGCGAAAATCTGTACGCTACCTACTAAGTACGAATTATGCGGCATGTCCCAGGGGTCCTGCTACTGAAGACAAGTTGCTGCAGAACATGATGTGAACGACTTGGCAAAAGGGTGGGATGAGGACGGAGAGGGTCTTCCGCGCCCGCGAAGCTACTTAACGCCGCTGCAAGGGCACAAGTACCCCCCCTCTCCCCCCTGAAGACTTTACGTCAGGGAGCATAAAGGCCGAAGGGTAGAGTCTTACTATGATGTAGGCCGTTATAGTTTTTGATGATGGGTTGTAGTAGCATTATTGCCATCATAGGCCTAACGTCTGGTGGTGGGGACCCTCTGGTGAAGAGGGTGACTGACAAGCAAACGGGCACATGGCAAACATGGCACCGCATCCTGACCAAGGCGTCTTGACTTACTTTCTTTTCTGCCTTTTTCTGCTTATGGTTTGCTGCCCTTTGTATGCGTCGTCGCCTGCCGGGACAGTTTAGATTTCTGCAGGTGAAGGGTGCTTGTATGTACGATGGCCACCAAGTAAAGAAGGTTGAGCCGGGTATCAAGGGTTTCGGCCGCAGAAGGGGTGGCAGAATTGATGAAGAACGACAAGAAGCACGGGGCAAGACGAGCGGGATTCTGGAAGAGCGCCAGAGTCCGATAGAAGGCGGTTTCGAATCTTGGCTGACTATGGGTTGAATAAGCAGAGCATGTGGCAGCTAAGGTTTGTGAGAGTGTGCCAGGACAGGACGGGTGTGTGCGCGTTGGGGCCGTGGCTTTTGTGTGGGATGCTTCTATCTTGGGGTACATTTGCCCATTGCGTTGAGGTGAGATCGGGTCGGTGGTAAGCCAAGGCTGCAGGGCATCAGAACTGCGAGGTGAAGGGGAAGATGGAGAGCATGGGATAAGGGGGTTCGTCCAGGAAGATGGTTGACCAGGCTGACCTTGACGTGGGTGGTGCATGCTTGTCTTTCGGCGAATGGTGAGGGTGTCGTGCCAAGTAGTTCGGACTCGGATTTTGAATCATTGTTTCGCTGTTTGAGAGGGAGTTTCGTCTTCGATGCGAACTAAGGGGTGGGATAAGAAGGCGATACTATAGTTGGCCTCTCACGTTGCTCCTGTCTTGGATGACATGCCTTGACAGCTCAAGAGCTGAACCTTCGGAGTGTTTACTGTAAAGTTGCAAAGATGAACAGAAAGGTCGAAAGAATGCGGCAGGATGCCGGCGGAAGCGGCGCAACAGAGGAGAATCAATATGATTAGACGACTGACTTATGCCTGATTCAAAGGCCGACTCATCGCAGGGCAGACGGCATCGGCGAGGCGGCGAGGGGGGCGCGCCGGGCGGCATGCCGCAATTGCGGTTTAGCTTCCGCGGCCGAACGTGGTTCGTCGGCTGCGCAGTGCCAAAAATGGATGGCATGTAGTTGTGTATACTTGGTTGTTGCGTGTTCACCAAGGTTTCTGCGCAGTACTCAAGCACCGCGCGCTAGAACTTAGACTGGCGGGGGCAACCAGGCGATCCATCGCTGTCGTACGAGGAGACGGTGCAGATCGTCAGATTTCTGATGTCCCGAGGTTGTAGTTGGAAGATCCGACAGGGAGGTCGTGTTGTTGTAAGTTGTGCGGTTGCTGGTGCGAGGTAGCATCGTTTCCCCGTGTAAGTGGCGGGTAGTCTGGAGATCCGGGGTTTCTCTGGGGGAAACAATGTGGATTTCTCTGTTGGGAACGGTTCATGTTGCGAGCGGCGAGGCGAAAGAGTCCATGGTAGGGGGGTTTGGGGGGGGTGCGCGGTGTGGGAGGTTGGTTTGAGGGACGGGCTGGTGAAGGCTTGATATTATGGCTTTCGGGGCCGTGATATCGACTGGGAGCGGGATGCAATGTCGAAGGATGACGGTTGATGGCTGGTGGTCGATGGCCAAGGGTTCAGGGCCCGGGCCGGTTCGTTGATGCGAGCCTGTCTGTCGATCTCTGAGGGGATTTGTCAGACTGGAATAAGTCAAGTAGTCTTTTCTGGAAGAAGGCTGTTTTTCACGAGTGGCTGATAAATAATGTTGAAGCTGTCACGGTGGTCGAATTTCGTTCGTGTGTAAAAGTAAGGTAAGCAGTCGTAGAGGTGGGATTCCGCTCTAGGCAGGTGTGGCCTAGGTACCTTCCCTTGCAGCAGGAAAGTCGCACTGTTAACTAGGGTGGATATACGGAAAGACACACAGTGCCGATTGACAGGCGCGCATGGCAGGCAGGACGGATCCAACGGGTTCTGCTGAGCCGCTGCTGCTCGCGCGCATCTACTCGAGACACAAACTCTCAAGTTCTAAAGTCAAACAGTGCGACATGGACCCGGTCTTACACTCCGCATGCTCAAGGCCAGATGCACCGTTGCTTGGCTCCGGACGGCGGCTTCGGTCACCGGTGTGGCAAGCAGGTCCCGAACGGCGGCGCCGGTCTCCTGCCGGTGATGGATCGGGCATAGCGTACCCCCACCGTCTCCGCCCTCGGTCCCTGAACAGGCTTAGCGCTACATATGGGGGCGGAGGATGAAGGTGGTTCAGCTTGTTCAGCAGCTCCAGCAATAGCAGCGGCAGGCTAGCACAGCGGGCAGCGGACGGCGCTGATAGAAGGAAAGATGCTGCTGCTGCTGCAGGACGGGAATACGGGAATGGGCGGGAGAAGCTGCGTTGGCTGCGGCACAGCGGACTCCCGTCGCTTTCTGAGTGCCAGTGAGCATGGGGTGACAGACAGCCGCCATCCACTCACTCGTTTTAATCTCGTTGGCTCGCTGCCCGTTTATGCTCTTTTCCCTCGTTCCCGCCGTCCTGCATGTCTTCAGAGCGGTCAGAACGAGCTCAAAAAACAACCATTACGACGACTGCCGGCGCGAACGACTCGACCGACGCCTGTACCCGTACCCGTGCTTCCCGCCTGTCACTTTCGACTCGAGCAAGACTCCCGCGACGCAGAGAAAGACTTGGCAGACGCTTAGCCAGCTGTACGAAAAAGGACCCCAGCGTGCCAGTTCCAAAATTGGAGCGAGCGTAAGCAGAGCCGCCCAACGTATTAACTGGCCACCTCGTTTTGGGGGACTAGCCGCTTCTCTCTCAACTCCAGACAACAAAGGGGCTTCGAAATCAATCGACTTGAGCTCAACGGCCGCTTGGACATCCGACGGTACGGGTCGCATCCACGAACGCCTACCCATCGCTAGCATCGATTCAATCTCTCTAACTATTCACCCAACCGGACCGACGCCTGCCGAAATGACGTCCGTATCCTCCAGAGGGACGCCTCACTCGCCCCTCGACTTCGAGACCGCCGCCGACACGGACGACACATGGCAACACCTCGACATGAATTCATACGCGTCCTCGGTTGGCATCGTCCACAGCCCGGCCAGCGGTAGCCTCAATGGTTACGCCGTCGTCGGCCATTTCGCCGGCTCGGACCATGCGGGCCTGTCTCCGCTAAACCTCGATCAACTTGACCAAGCCGCCTACTCCGCCCCGGGATTCCCTGATCAGACGGAGGCCTTCGCTCCCGCTCAATCGGCGGATGGCCAATTTGTTGCCGGCGGGCAGAATCCCGACATTCTGACGCCTCAACAGTATCTCTTTTCACAGCAGGATCTGAATGGTTAGTGTCATCCAGTACCGTGTTTAATGACTTGACCAGTTGAACTGACCGTCTGTCCACCAGAGATGACATCGTCCATCATCAACTCACTTCAGAGCAACACTGCACCTCTTACAGGCTTGGAGACGTTCAGTCAACAGCAAGATATTGATCTCGAGCTGGACTTTTCACAGTCCTTTCAGCCCAATGCCAATCCGGCCCCTTGGAACCCTGCCAATCTTAAAGTCGACAATGGCAGCTCCGTGTTCGTCACGGATGACCTCTCGTCATCACAGGGCTCTGCCTTTGCCAGCCCAAATCATTCAAGCCCGACCTCGCCTGACATCAAGCCAGAAGGTGACAAGTCTTCGTCATCGAGCCCGATCCGCAAAGTTATAACCGGCAAGGTCGAGAAGAAGAAGGCATCGGAGCCGTCTAGCAAGTTTGTCATCATGACGCCCAATTCCATCACCGCACGCGCCGGGCAGGCGAACCTCTATGACTGTTTCGACACCATGCGAACAAACCCCCGCGGTCGCAAGGGACCTCTCGCCGATGCCACAAAGCAGAACGCTCTTCAGGTCCGTCGCCTTGGGGCCTGCTTCTGTTGTCACAGCCGCAAGGTCAAGTGCGACAAGGAGAGGCCTTGCAAGAACTGCAAGAAGCTCGCGGCCCAGGTGCCGCAGGTCATTTGTTGGCAGTTCTCTGACTTTCTGACCGTGTTGTTCCCCGAGTTTACGCGAGCGCACTTTCGCAAGGATCAGATGTCAAAGTTCATGAAGGAGAACGTCCAGCTCGATGGAATGGAGGAGCTTGCACCAAGGGAGGTTGAGCTCTTCTCCGGCCTTACGCCGACGCTCAAAGTCCGGGCCAAGTTCTTCACACCCATCACCGACGACGTCCAACAGCACTACCATCTACATGTGGGCAAGGACAGGGTTGACCTGCAGGCAAGAGGAACTGCGCCGATGGTATTGGAACTAGATTCTGCCGCTCAGAGAGACGCATTGAGGAAGAAGGCCAAGGAGTACATTGCTGCCATTTCTTCTGAGCCTGGGTACGCACAGCGGGTGACCGAATCGATTCGACATACCGATCTGCCAAAGAAGATTTTGGACGTGGTGCAAAACTATGCCAGCAAGTCTGAGGTAAGTTATCGATCCCTCGGCCGAAAGAGAATGCAGCTAACATACTCAGTCATCAATCGTCAAGAAGGCTCTCGCGATATATAGCGCCCACTTCATCATGACGCGACACCTCTGCATCACCAGGCCAAGCGTCATGAGCCTCCAAGACTCCGGCCTTGTACCACAGGCGGTGCCATGGGTTACGCCTCGCGTCGTGAACAGACAGATCAAGGCCGTTATTGACGATCTGCTGCTGCGCGACATGCAACAACTCTTCGAAAACTTCTCCAAATCCCTCAAGCCCAAATCACGACGAGAGTGGGCGCCATGCACCGCTGCTTTCCTGGTTCTCTGCTTGTTCATGGAGTCTGTTGAGACGGCTGCCGACACCTTCGTGGTTGCGCTCAACGAGATCAGTCTGCGCAACCACACGACGCCAGAATACAAGCGAGAGGACGCTCTCAATATCAACAAGGAAGTCGAGAACATGCCGTTCAAGCAGTTTGCATACCAGTTCCATCAAATCTACCAGACGCACAGCCGGGATACGTCGACAAAACCATTCAATCCGTTGGTGGACGATTCATGGCTTCAGCAGGGCGAAATGGACGCACCTGCGATGGAGATGGTCATGCGTCTCAGGGAATTCTTCTCGGGCGAAAATTGTGAGTTTAATTTCTTCCTTAGCCATCATCGTTTGTGGTTTGCGACACTAACAATGGCCACAGACATCGAACTCGACTTTTTGACAATGGACCCGATCCTACCCAACGGCAACGGCGAGGCGCACCCCTTCCCCCGTGACGTGTCTGTGAACTACACCGGCCGCATGGTAGCCAAGTTCCTCTTGTCGTTCTTGGACGAGAAGTACATCTTTGGCGAGGGCACTTTCTGATCCATGATCGAGCATAACCTGGGAAGGAGAACCCTGGCTGGCGGAGTTTAGAGGATTTACGACTTTATGATCAAATACCCTTCTTATTCAGGCGTCGAGCGATACAGATGGACACCGTTCGTAATATTGGATAATTGAAAAGCATGATAACAAACACATACGAGTCGGAGACTAGACGAAGGTCTCGTGAAAATATGTTTGTCCGATTTTAGTCCTGATGCCACACTATCTCTATGGCTTCAGGGTGGAGCGGACCGGTTGTCTAGACCTTGGGTTGTTCTCCCACTCGAACGATAAAAAAGTAGTTAACACTCCCGCGTATTGAAACTGCGAAGTGTAGGCATATCGTGGGGTTTTGGTCTCGTAGGACCAGACTGTTCTCTGCGTCGTCGTGCGGTTCAGGTGTGCCAGCACTTGCCAGCTATCAAACGGCGGCCCAAACGTCGCCGCTTCTCAAAGCGACGGACCAGGTTGTCTTGCGATGTGGCAGAGCAATATCTGGTAGCCAGTCAGAGGGCTCAAAAAAAGACCATGCATAAGGTCGCATGAGACCCTGTTGATTGGCGGTCGAGGCGCGCTGAGGTGTTGTTGGAAAGACGAAGAGCGAAGAAACGGCGGGAGGGGATCTGTCTAAAATAGTCGCGAGGGAAAAAATCTCCTCGGTGGGCATCCGGCTAAAATTATGGGGCCATCGGCCAATGATACGCCAGCTGTCGAGTCGACTGCTCTCCAGAGTCCAGGCAGCAGAAGGCAGCTCCAGGTTAGTAAGCAGGCGGACGACCTGCCTTATCGTCCGCAATCCGCGAAATACCTTTTTCATTTTCCTCTCTTCTTCACACTTTTTGCACCAATAATCAACCGAACCCGACTTGTTTCTCGACTTGTGCTCGGTCAGTTTGAGTGCCAGACTAAACCTGGGCTGTGCCTCCTTTTCCATTTTTCTGGTGCTCTCGATCAATCATGGTTGAGGATATCACCGAGAAAGAGCTGCGGGGGAGTGATTTCCAACATTTCCATGACTTTTTGCAATTACGATTGAAGGTGCACTGCCATCTTCGCCTATTCGCCTAGGCCACAATTGCTGACTTTGGCTCGCCGCCGTACCGCGCATTTGCGTGTTTCATGTCTTTTCCCCTGTCTTTGCACAGCAAAAAAAAGCAGGCAACCGACGATTCGGTCACTGGATTTTTGGCCTCCATTCCTAAGGCCATTCTCATTGGTTCATAATGTCTTTCAATTCACAGTCGGTATCGGGGTGACTGGCCTCATTGCCTTAGTGGACCAAAGTCGCGCCCGACAAATCAGTCATCCGGGCAGTGCGCTTGCTGTGCCTCTGCTAGTGATTCTCATTTCTGGGGTTTCTGGTTTCTCGACGTAGGCTTATCCGTTTTAATGTCGGCGTCGACCGCGATCGTGCCCATCCCGCCACACCGGCTTTGACGAATTTGAGGCTCTCACCGAATGTCGGCTCGGTGTCGGCTTCGTCAGCCACACTCGGCCCCAAGATTAATCTCACAGCGTTGGATGCCTTAACCACTGTGCAAGGCGCACACGTGAGGTCCGTGACGTCCTCTTCTTCCCTTGCCTTCCCTTTGAATTCCTCCCCTTTCCGTTCATGTCTGCCGTCTTCTCCTTTTCGCGTCTTCTTCTTGAGTTCCGGTTTAGACGGCGGTGCCTGGAAAAATATGGGGCATCTGCCTTCCAAACCCCGTACATCCTCGCCATATGACCCAGGCAGCCAAACTAAGCCAACCTCCCCCCACGTCCGCAAGCAGTGATTCTAGATATGCTCTCTCTTGAAGTAAATTTCCCAGCAACCTCACACACTGCCCTGCGACGGCGATCTGAGTCACTTGGTACTTATTCCGATGTGCCTTACTGGGGCTGGGGGCCGGTAACCGAGTTAGACTCCGGCTGTTTCCTTTGTGCATCGGGGGCCCTGTCACCGTCGGTGACTGTCTCCACGGACGAATGAGAGGGTCACATCATCACTGCCTGGACCGCGAGACATGGGTAGCCGGCGAAATGCGCCGTTGCGCAAGTCGTTCGTGCGCCTGCCACATGGAAATTCCTAACCCGCGCAACCGTTCTTGTCTGTTTTTGTGATTGGGATTGTCAAAGATGGTAAGTTCCAAAGGCAACAGGCCTAACTTCGCCCCATCGCGTTTCGGTGTCTGTACCTGGATCTTGAGGCGCTGTTGCATCTGCCTCGTGAGTCAATCCTCGCCGTACCCTCGATTTGAGTCTCGTACCTTGTATCCATATGTTGAGGCTTGATTGAGGTCATTTCCAAGTGCCTCAAGTATGTCCTCGACTTGCTATATAGATGCCTAGTTCCTCAGTCCATTATCGTTCTTTCCATCAGAGCAACACAGTTCACACACAACCAACGCCTTCTGCATCATAAAGACATCCACATCTCCTGCTTCATATCTAGACATTCAGGTTTTCACCAACATCTCCAACACCACCACCACCACTACCAACATGTTCGCCTTCACCTACAACACCGCCTCCATGGTCGCCATGACCAAGGCCAACAACGATGACTTCCCCAACGACCCTAGTAAATTTGCCCCATTATCAGTTCTTGTTCCTATGCTAACTCTTTCCAGCTCAGGGCAAGTAAACATTGGATTTGTCGAGAATTAAAGCAACTTCCCACTCCATCGACCCAATCCGACTATCCAACTATCCAACAAATAAACGAACAAACAAATATTGCATCGGCGGCGTTACGGACATTTACAGCACACATATACAAGATTATCATGTCATACATGAACGTCGTCGGTCTCGCGGCCATCTATTGGCCTAAGCACCGGCTGCATCACGATGCGGCCATCGGTGGGCCTGCCGTTCCAACAGGATGGTGAAGAACCACCATTCCAGGCAGGCTGGCATTAGTCCCCTGCTTGGCTTTTCTTCGGGCTTAGAGGGGGTTGTCTTTGCAGCACACACATTACACGGGCGTTAGGCGGGAATCTTAGGTAGCTTTCCACTCATTGGACAATCTCCCATGAGTATGTTGCTTCTTCTGAAAGGGGTGTGTACAACAGCATAGAACGGTTACGATAGGTAGTACGATACGAAATAGGCAAGGGTACCAAATACAAACAAGTAGCTTTGCATTCCCCCTCGTGTGCCGCTATCCGCCATGCAGTCTCTGCCTTATGGGGCTCGCTTCGCAGGAGTGGTCCCTCCTGAACACCCGTCTTAGCCAATTCCAGACGGCGAAGATCCATTTTCGGAAGTTGGAATATGCCGGTGACGATGCTTTGGGCGATGGTTCTTTTGGTTGTGGGAGGGGGCTGAGCGGTGGTGGGAGCGGGAGGGCGGGGATGTCGGGCCATCTGTCATCCGTCGGCCCCCTGGCGGCGTCAGTTTGATGGTCGAGTGTGGCGTGAATGTGCATTTTTGTTTGGGTCTTGAGGCATGGGTACATCATAAAGTGAGGTATCGTATTGCTGGTTGTCGACTGAAGTGCGTGGTGCCTCAGGTTGTGTTCGCGGTGTCCTTAGTTTCATATGGAATGAAGTTCGACGTAGAATAAACGAAACATTTATACACCAATTCAATAAGTTCTCATTTAATGTAATTTTGGTGAAGGAGAAATTATGAACATCCATGTGACGCCTTTTGGAAGTTGCGGGAAGAACAGTATTGTCGAGATGGCGCCGAGGAGGGACTGGGGAATTGGCAGATGGACGGGATGTGGGCAGACATCTCATTAGTAATACATGCGCAGCACTTCAAACACTCAAAATCCCAAGAAAATCAAGGATTTTGTGAAAGTTGGCAGATGACCAGAAGTTGGAAAACTCTAGAAGTCTCCGTATGCGTGGTCTGCTGTGTGGGGTAGCATGCCACTTCGGCGGTGGCGGCGAGTGTATCAGCACTGTCATCCGACCACGGCAGGGGATTTCGGATTTGGCATAGATACTTTGATTTCACATGCGAAGAGATATTTTGTGCTTGGGAGGCTGCAGAGACTTCAAATGTGGGCTGGTGCCGTGTAAGTCCATTGGGTGCTGCTGCCCAGTTCCGCTGCGCAATACTGTACATATGTAGGAGCAAATCCGGCCAGGCAACCGCCCAAACTCACAGTCCGTGATGAGTCACAAGTATAATTGTCTCTAGACGAGCCAATAGTATAACATGAAGTCAAAGAGGGGCCGGCTGATGTCGAGGTGCCCAGCATCGTGCACACTCTTAAGACGAGATGAAGAATGCCTTACCAGATGAGACGGCTGGCAATGGTTCGGCACGCTCAAACTTGTTCAAATATGTTAGTAATTATATGCATTATGCGATCTGGTTGAGTGAGTCACTTCGGAGATCTCGCCCGGAGCTCCATTCGAGCCACGAGGGTCCGTCATGGTTAGGGTACCGCACGACTGGGCAGGAGACAAGCGACCGGGCTTTTGGATCCACAGGTCCACAGGATTGATGTTGAATTAAGGTGAGCAAAGGAAAGTATCCGATTTGTCGCTATGTTTGCGAGTTTTGTCGTGACAATTCACCCCAGTATTCGCAAGTTTGCAGACATACAGGTAACAATTGTCTTTGTACACGTTGTCCGCGTCCAGCATAATTGTCGCTGTCTTTGTAAATGTTCTTTCTTTGTTTGTCTTGAATTTTTTAGTTTTTAAAGTGACGTATACCTTCTTTCTCCAAGGTAGTAGAGTTGGGTGTGGTTGAATTTGCGACTCGCGATGTGTTCGAATCGATGTGGAACGACCATACGACGTGTGCCATCAAGACTTGCCCGCCGCTTCCAGCTTACTCACCACACTGCACTTTCAGCAGCCCGAACAACTCCCAAAGACCAGATCAGAACCCTCCATGTTACCTAAGGGGCGTCGTTACAGGATAGATGGCTTCAGATGCAAAGAAGGTCTCTAGACATCTCCAGCCCCAGTTTCGGTGGTTGCCGTCAAAACCGAGCCCCTTTAACTCATCAGTCCGACGCCTGATTAAACTAATTACGGGAGAGTTTGTCTTATAGTCTTCCAGATGATCCGTAAGGAACTTCAATAAAGCTTGAAGCCTATCTCTCGCTAAGATCGTGCTCGGCATGTTGAATCGACCTTTTCCCTGGAACATGAAGCATAGCGACGAGAAACACTTGGACATCCTGAACCGGAATAACCAAAAACTGATCGGAAGCACAGTCTATTGGCATATGGCACAGTGATGGCCTTCAGTATGGTATTGAGTGCTGTGATGCCTTGGGTTTGGAGCCATCTGTATAAGATGCTCGTCTGTCCCCTTCGCTTTCCCCTGTGTTTTCTCCCTTATGCCCCTTCTCATCTTAATCGCACCTGTTCCTGGTATATTGTACTCTTGTGCGGAAAATCGGCGTCTTGTCACCTATAGAACTTCCTGAGCACCGATCACCGTTTGTGAATCACGTAGACTCACGTCTACACCGCAACCGCCGTCCAGCGCAGACCTACAGCATGCCGTGGCAGTAAAGCCAGACGGACCCACTTGAATCTTACTAGTCGAAGATGAGGTCCTTTTTCGAACGCATCGTCAAAAATTTTGGTGGTGAGGAACCCCAACCTGAACCCGAGAGTCCACCTCTCGATCCGTGTAAGTCGTCAGCCCCACCCCAGCACCTCGACCGACCAGCGCGACAGCACCACCACCTTTCTATCAAATAAATGCGAATTTTTATTTATTTGAGAATTCAATTCAGTGACACTAATAGTCAAGTTTCGCATTAGTCTGGGGCGCTTAATATCTATTTTGTCGTCGGTGCTCGTCTTTGCGTGTTTAAATGGATTTACTGTTATCTGCTTGTGTAGTGACAACAGGGTTGCGGTGAAGCAGGATGGATTTGGTTGAGTCGGGCGTTTTCGCGAACCTCACTTTCGACTGTTAGCGCAGTACTTTCTAGGCGTAGTTGCATAGCCAGCTTAGCATGAACCGCACTAACTCCCACCGAGGCTCATTAAACTTATTTTGTTCCAGGTTTGGTCCCCAGGGGGGGAGCCTCGCCTTACCTAAGCAAGGTAGCCGACTAGCCACACAGCATTCACAGATCATTTTAAGCCCCCTCAAAGGTTTTTCTCTTCATCAGGTGTCTGCGAAAACTGCCCATTTAAAGATTTAAAGGCCGAGGTTTCAATTCAAACGCCAGGTAAGACTATATGTAAATCGCCTAGAATCCGGACTTCTCTTTACATCGGGAAGCTCTACATAAGCGCGTGGAACATAAATCTCCTTCACATACTTTGGAAATCAGCGTCGCGTCCCTGAAGGAGACCGCCTGCATTTCCTGTGGACTTGATTACTTCCATCGAGGGCGACGAGTAACGCGATAGGATAAGAAACAGTATCTAACAATAGAGGCGATAACGGAGTCGACAACGAAGACGGCAACGATAATAATTTAGAGTACACATGAGCCCACGGAGAGGCAGTCGCTCTAGCCTAGAAGAAAATAGGCGATTCTCTAAAGATGCCAGTAAATCAATTAACATTTAATTGCAGGCGGCCACAGAGCTGCCGCATTTGCCCTTGTATATCCTCGGAAGCCAGCGTCCGCTCGTAAAACAATACAGGCAAGTCATCATTTGATCCGAATACATTCTTGCTCCTTCCCATCAGTCTCATCTTTGCGGCTCTGCCATGTTTCCAGACAATACGCAACTGCGGAATACGACGAGCGGACTCTCTATCATGACGTGGCTCAGCACCTGCAGCTCGCAGGCCGGGAATGCGCATGTAGCAAGGGTTGCAAGTCAGCGACAGGGGATCAGTGAATCAACTGCTAGAGTCGACCTGCCGTCTACTCACCTGCTCTCTGTGTCAGGTCTAGCTTCTGCCTAAAAATCCCGGAACAACGGCCTCTTCTGCCTTAAACATCCCGCACGTTTAATCGTTTGCGGTCAAACACTTCGCGGGGGGCAGCATATGTTACGTTCCTCAACCAGCCATAGCACCCAAAATGGTCGAATCAGAGTCCGCCTGTTGGTCCTCATTGGCGCGCCGGCTGGGGCTTGTGTTCTGGTATGACTCCGCGATCTGGAACTTCCATTCACACCAGAGTCTCGCAACTGCGATATTCAGGTGTTAATGGCGTTTTCTGAGGTCAGTTATTCCACTTGATCGCACTCCCTGTCGCTTTACTTCGGGATATAGACCTCCGCAGATATCCTGCCTAATATCTCTGGATATTTATATTCGGCCTCAGTTCTGCACTTCTTGCCACATCTCAACAGGTTCCAACCAACTCATTCATCCCAATCAAGCATCACCACACCCATTCACACTCTCATCATCTGCATCTCCAAGAGACCCCACTACCCGCTGCCTTACGCAAACCAGGCCTCACTACACCACCAAAGAAACCCCCTCTCATCAGGCACGATCACCCGGGAAAACCAACACTCTTAACAACACTTGCATTTTGCAACCCACGATATCGCATCCTCAAACGGCGATGATTGCCAAGCCAGAGCATCTCGTCAACACTCCCTGCGGCGGAGAGCCCACCAACCCCGACCCAGCACCCCTCGACCCTTGTAAGTCACAATTCCACTTCCACTTCCACCATGCGCCACAACCGTTCGCTTCATGCACTGCCCCAAAAAATCATCGGCGATTTTCAACTTTGTCAATTTCAACCTCGAATTTCACAATGGCTGACCTGAACGCCTAGTCTATGGTGCTCGAAACCTCTAGAATCTGGGCGCGATAAGGCGCATTGAATGCTTCGAAACCCGTCGTAGATGACTGGGGGTAGGCTACGCAGCAGAATGGCGTACTACTCAATACCACGATACTTCAAGAGGGTGCGGCTTAAAAGAATGAGAGACGGGTGTTATAATGTTTTAAATCGCTATCAATCTATCAATATACCATACTTTTGACTTCATACTTCGTAACTGTGCCTAACGTTCCAAGACTGTGATGTGAGACCTCTTGGCCAGACGACTCACCCATGCTGCCAGTGCCCGCAAAGGGAAAATATCGTCGCTGCAAACTGACTTCAGGCATCTTCGACTTAGGTAGGCGCGTCAACCTAGGTAGGCGCGTCAACCTAGGTAGGCACATCAACCATTGGCACCCGATACCTTCAAGTTTGTAAACTTGAGGAACGCCGGACTCGATCGCGATTTGACTCTGATAGTTGAGCCGAGGACAGGCAGCCAGGACCGATTTAGGCAGGCACTCCCCTATGAACCCTGCCGATTAGCGCTTGCCCAACGCGCGGACCACTCTGCGACTGGGATAGAGGGTCTAAAGTCCGGCAGGGTCCTCTATGGACCCCTCCGACTTTAATTGACGACAACCTGCCCAGGGCATTCCGGTCGCGTCGTCGCAACTCAGACGCGTCAAACCCACAGCGCCGCTGCCGCTGCCTGCCCACCATGGCAGTCGTATCTTCATCTCTTACGGAACTGTCCGCCGTATCATCGCCAGACTCCTTCCGCACCGCGTTCCAGTCGCCCCCAGGCCCTGATGCCATGGACAGCCCGATCGTTCCCGCCGGTCCCAGGTATACTTTGGCGAACCAGCTTCCTCGCGAGCTAAAGGCGCATTGCCAGATTTACCTAGAAGAGCATCTTTGTGCGTTGCCTGGTTGGCCCACTTCCCCGAAGCTCCCTGCTGACGAGTCAACCCAGACAATGGCGCACTCGGGCTCCTCAATAGCCTCCTCACCGCAGGCTCCTCTCGACAGGATGTTGCCAAAAAAGCCGTTTACGTGCCACCGGTGACGCATCTCGCTCTACTCAATACCCTCATTATCCCCCCGAGCCATACCACACGTGCTGCTGGCCCCGACCGGCTCGAAGTCGGCTCCCAGACTCTTGGCTACTTGCGCAACCTCCTCGCAATCGTCGGACCCATCCACGCAGGCTTCAAGGGTGCCTTCCAGTTCCACGGAGGAGGCTACGGCCGCCGGAACCGATACCATGACGAGGAGGATGACGAGATCGATGGCGATCAGATAGGCAATAAGATGGCTGGCGAGGACAGTATCTGGCACCGTGCCCAAGATTTCTGGGCCGTCGTTGGATGGGCGTTCAACTGCAGTTGCGTCCACCCCAACCGATGGCGCTACTGGAAGACCTGGCTGGAGTTCATGCTCGACGTCCTTGAAGCTGACCTTAAGGAGCGTAGGCGGATGGACGAAGAGGCGATGGGCTCCTCCCAGGACACGGACTGGACGAACTTGAAGGGGGCTATCCTCGTCATGTACGTCAAGCAAAAGGCCGACTCCAACCGGAGTGGCTTGAAGATGATTTCGCAAGCCCTCTTTGCCGATGGCTACACCTCGGCCATGAGCAAATTTCCTGAGATTTTCAACAGGGAGACCAAGGGCTTGCCGAGCGAAGACACGAAGCGCAAGAGGATGGCCACTCTAGACATTGAGAATGACCAGTTTGGGGACTACTTTGATGACGACCTGGTGGAATCAGACGACCAGCAGTCTCAATCTGAGGAACCACCCACTCCACGCACACCATCGAGACGGGCAGGTGCGTTTGTGACGCCGGAATTGGCTGAGTCTATTCCCTTGCGTCTGCGTCTCATGGATCTGTTATCTGAAGTCTCTGAACGTCTGCCGTATGACTTTCAGTCTCACAGAGACTACGTAGCGGACCTCATCATGCATCTCAAAGCGCAACCTCTAGCATACTTCCAGCAGTTTATCTCGGACATGGGTTCTCACGTTGGTCGCGCTTTCGAGATCGACTTTTTGACGACCGAGCTGGACCACTTGTTGCCGTCGCGATACCAAGACCCCAGGAAGGTCGCACCTTCGAGCGGTGGCATCATCGTCAACGCTGAAGTAATGGAGCACTGCTATCTGCCGCACCATGCGAATACCGTTGACCCAACAGACAATGCACGTCTCGCATTGATACTCGAAAACCTGCTGCACCAAATGTCCCCCGAGGAAATAAAAGCTGCCAAGGATAAGCTCCATACGGCTGCTGAGTCGGGCATTGAGGCACGCAAGTGGAAGGCTAGCGGCCGCAAGGTGATGAAGACGAGGAATGGTAAGAAGCAAAAGGACTTGGGCGACAAAGACCGCTATGCAATGGAGATGATGGATCTAGCTGGAGAGCGCATTCTGTTGTACATTGACATCATGGGCTCTTTCTCAGAGGACTCTGATGATGACATGACAGACTGAGGACCGGTATGGTTTTCGAAGTATGATTCGCGGAGAGACTGAGGCAAGGGCGTTACATGGTATTATGAGGTTCCAAGATACCCATTTAAATCTATTTCATGATTTGTTCATAGTACCTGCGTCCTGTGCTGTGATTGTTTTTCATTGAAGACCGTTGATTGTTGAACCTTGATCCTTGGCCCAAGTCCACTGAGCCCAATGCGGTAGGTGGGGTAGCTGATCGCGAAAATTCCCCATCGACCCCTCCAAGCTCCGGCTAACTTTGTACTGCGTACGCATTCAATCTTCAACTTCACAACCCAAACCTCTAAAATGCCGGTAAGTAAATCCACATTTCAGATTTGAGCGCTGATGACTGAGCATCATGCCGTAGTTAATCATAGTCTCCGGCCTCCCGACGTCGGGCAAAACCCACCGCGCAAAACAGCTCCAAGCGCACCTCGCAAAACGCATCGCCGCCGCCGCAGCGGACTCTTCGTCCTCGAGCAAGCAAGCGCCCTATAGACTCCACTACATCTCCGACTCGACGCTGTCCATCTCGCGAGACGTGTACGACCTCGACCCGGACAAGGTGCGCGCGCACACGCGCTCGGCCAACGCCTCGGAGAAGGACGCCCGCGCGGCGGTCTACGGCGCCGTCAAGCGCGTGCTCACGGACCGCGACATTGTGATCCTGGACGGGCTGAACTACATCAAGGGATGGCGGTACCAGCTGCACTGCGAATCGAAAGCCGTGAGAACGCCGAGCGTGGTGTTGCAGATCGGATGCGGGGTTGACAGGGCGAGGGGAATTAATGAGGAGAGACTGAGGAGGAGGGAGGAAGCTGCAGCGACATCGTCAGCAGCCGCAGCAGGTTCAGAGGTGGAAGCCAAGGCCGACGACGATGCGAGCGGAGAGAACGAGGAGGTGGAGGAGCAGCCTTACGACAAGGAGAACTGGGAGAACCTCGTCTTCCGCTACGAGGAGCCGAACCCGATGACGAGGTGGGACAGCCCGCTGTTCACGCTCATCTGGGACGACGACGAGACACAGGCGGGCAAGGTGTTTGACGACATCTGGGACGCGATCGCGGGGACGGGGAGGAAAGTGGTGAAGCCGAACCAGGCTACTGTCCAGCGCAGCCGTGACGCGGGAGGGGATTACCTGTACGTGCTCGACCGCGAGACGCAGGACGTGGTGAAGAAGATCCTGGAGGGGCAGGGGGACGAGGAGGGCGGCGAGGTGAAGATCCCCCGCGGCGGTGGTAGCGGCAGCGGCGAGGATCTGGTTGTGCAGCTTCCGGGGCGCAAGGTCGGGCTGCCGCAGCTGCAGAGGCTGAGGAGGGCCTTTGTCGGGTTGAATCGTGGGGGTATCGGGCTTGAGGGTGTCGGGAACTTTAGCTCGGACAGGATGAGGGAGAGTTTTGTCGGGTATCTCAATGATAGCTTCGAGAAGGAGGGGTGATAATGGGCGTCGTCGGTCGTCGTGAGAGAGACTGGAGAATTGATACCCCTGAATGGTTTACATCATGATTTCGGTTGCTGCCGAGTTTTGATGCGTATCAGAGTATCATGATGCTTCCAAAGCTACAGATTCGGCTCGCGGAATCACGAGGAACGCCAAGAACAAGCTGGATGCTCTCTGTTTCTCAGCCAGAGTAGTTTGAGCAGACCGCAGAGTGTCTGGTCAAAGGTTTCACACATCCTTAGATACGCCTGACTTTTACTTCGGAAGCTGGCTCTAAACCGCCAAGGCCTGGGCGACGAGTCATAAAGAGGCAGAAGGTGAGAAATCGCCGAGGGCTGCAGTCTATGTATCTGCAAACTGTTTTGTAGACGGTGTCATCACCTTCTCTGTTCTACGTGCTCGATGGCTGGGCTTTGAGGCATTCCGTCCTGCACAATGTACAACGACGACGATGCGGCAACCAATATGCAGACGGTTCCTGACGTGTTGCAAGGTGCTTTCAAGGACCAACTAGGAACGCTACAGCATCAACACCTCGGGGAAACAGGATCTCTAAGTTGGTTATGACAGTCCCAAGGCTGGATCAGGAGATTTCTGCGTCACCCCTCCCGTGATTGGCGCAGACGGGACACGTCTTGGGAAGCGTGCAGCTTGTTGGCACGGCGTAGCGTATCTAATGAGCAGGCCAAGGCGCTTAAACCTCGCAGAGGAGTCTGGAGCGTGTTGGCGTGATATTCCCTACCTACTTACAAACCGCGGATAGACTTTCGGAAATTGAAAGTGAAGTAAATTGTGCTGGGCATCGCCAAGAGCCTCATCGCAGCATTGTGGGTGCTGCAGGTTGCCCTGAGGGGCGCAAACATCCGCTCCGCTGCCCGAAATAGAGCCCGGCCTCGTTTTTCTCACGAAAGTGAGGCGGCAAAGGTGTTTTACAGATTGCGAGAGCGGGCGTTAACAACTCTGCCCACGTGCTGCATTTCTGCCGCGTTGGAGCGAGCGAATCCGTCTACGCCGCCCCTTGATAAGGCTGCGCCAGGGAACGCAGAAGGTGTCGGGAGATCGCGCAGCTGAGGGAATAGGAGATTTACCGGATGGGGCCGACTTGGCGATTCCACGTCTCTGAGAGTTTCGCCGAGCCCTGAATAGAAACTGCACAGGTGATGACAGGGTCGTGGCATCGGGTGAAAGCTTGTCGGAGGCCAAGACATGATGTGAGCTGGGGGCAAGTCGTGGCTCAAAACGACACGGGGGCTAATAAAGACCAGACCAGACTAGAAGAAAGAAAGGAGGTCCCGCGGCTCTGGGAGAGGAAAGGTGCCGGCGCGACGTAGCATACCAGGCTGGCGGTGATACCGGACTGGATAAAATTGAAACTGGCAGCTTGGGCGATTCGCAGGCAGTCTGGATCGGCATTGGCATCAGCTCGAGACGAAGCATGTGGCAACATCTGGTCAGTGCCAGCAATTGTCGCGTGTCGGCTCGGGGTTTTGAGATGAGACTTTGCCGGCGTGCGTCACGTAAATCCGTGCTGGCTTGAGTCGCCTCACCTTGAGCTGACAGGCAGGCTGACAGGAGCCAAGTCGTGTACTTTCGCTACGAGGCACGATGCGGGGGAATTGTGCTTGACTAGCAGCAGGAGGATTATTGGGTTGACGAGGGCGACGGACCGGAGCGAGCTGCAGACCGTGGAAAGCAAATTAGTGCGACAGGAGTCTATTAGCGGAAAGTCTCCGTATGGACTGATTGTGTGATTGAGTGTGGTGTGGTGTTTCCGTCTCTCTGCCGAAGGTGTCGATGTCTGCCCTGATGGCGGAGATGGGCAAAGTGCGCCTTTGGGGTCGGAGATGCAGTTCGTCTGGAGAAGGAAAGTGGCATTTGCAGTCAGGCGGGAGTGTTGGACGGAGGCACATGGACGCTGCAGCCAAACGGAAGGCGGACGGAAAGAAAAGGAACGATGAAGGGAAGGAAATCGCCAAGAGTTGGGCCAGCCACGAGCGATAAGCTTTGCCAAGAGGGACAGAGCCAAGACGGGCAGGTGTGGAAAGACTGGGACTCGGGTTGGGGAAGCTGCCTGGCCGTTCTTTCCTTCATCACTTGGACCAGCACAACCTGGAGAAGGAGGAGCACAAGCCACGTCCTTTCCCCTCGTCCTTTCACAGGAAAAAAAACTGGGAGGCAGGAACAGCAACTGAGGCCAGACCACCACCCACCACCACCTCACAATCACCTGCAATCTATTGCGGGGTTGATGCGGCCCATAAGTTCGGAGATTGGTGATTGGCTCCAGCTCGATTTATCCAGAGAGCGAACAGGTTTTTGGGCTGTCCATCACTTTCCTCTCTCCGACCTGAATTCCCGTCTGACCTTGGCTATCCCCCACGTCTTGTACGCCGGTGACGAGTTGTTGGCCATCTGCAATTTCTCTCTCAGAAGCACCTTCTCCCAAGAGGCAGACGATGTCCTCAACTCCCCTGCGTCGATGAATATCTGCCGTTGGCCCCGGCTTCAACCTCCTCCCTCATCTGGACATGGACGGTCCCAGTTTCCCGAGAAGGTGATGCTCGCACCGGAAACCACACCTCGTTCAGCAAGAGCGCCCTTGTTAGTGGTGGACTCTCCCCTGGAGCATTAGCCCGTTAGGTACGTTGGCCCGCGCGGCATCCACTGCATTTTGTCCCCATACTTCGCCGAAAGCCCGTCATGATTGGTGGACAGACGAACGGATGCACTCGAGCCTGGGAACGGGGGTGGACCCAGAGTCGAACACTGTGCTGGACACCCCCGACACAGTGTGCAATCCTTCGGCGGCAGGTCATTCATCATTTCCTCTTCCAGCCCAGTGGCCGCCGAAGCGAAGGCAGCGGCAGGCTTGTGGGCACTACTGCTCGCTACGGCCGCTCGATACAGCGTCCATCTCTTGCCGCTTCAGACGGTCATTGTCGCCCACCGACCGTCTAATTGCTTACTCAAACACCAGTTCAGTGAGGTGAGTTGGACTTTTAGATGTCTTGACCGATGGAAATGCTGACTGGACGGGCCAGGTTAGGCACAACCACCGCCGTCGAGTTAGAGTTGCAAAGCCCCAGTGACAGCGATCGGGTTGATGTCACCGGCACTCATCTTCTGTGCTTCTCCCGCGCGCAAGCTCTCGTTCTCGAGACCTTGTCCCACACCACCTCATCATGCCCTATGGTAATCGACGTCGGGAGGGGAACTCGAGGGGATGCCGACGACGACAAAGAAAAGAGTCGCAATTTTCCTGCTCTCCCGCGTTTCAAGAGCCAAGACAAAACGCTCCGAACCCAAGGGGACGGCTGGTAGCCATCTGAATTTTGTACTTGATCAGCACGGCTGCCCGTCTCCGTTTCAGGGTACTTCCCTCGAGGCGGGGAGGCTGAGCAGCCACTGCCGTGCAGTCCTGCGCGCAGTATTTCGCAGCAGGCACACGCAAGACATGCTTTTCCAACCACTAACGGCGGGGGGTGCCATGCAGCCAGCCCAGTCTAGTGTCGGGCGTACAGTGTCTCACCTGTTCTCAATACCTTACATCCAAAGGAATCTTATGTAATCAGAAGACTCGACGCTGTCTTTCCTCATATGCTGCTGCAAGTTGCTGACAGCCATGAGGATTCTGCTCAACAACGCCGGCCGGACCCAACGCCGGCCGGACATGGCCCAGTGTCACCGCCATTGCCTTAGTTATCTTCATGTTGAAGAATGGCTGATGCAGCCTTGTTGTGATTCTTTAAGAAATGCAATATACACCAGGAGACAACATGTTATGTATGTATATACGCCAACTCGGGAGCAAATGTCATCATCCCTCTCGTCTCATTTCTCGCTACAGCTTTCAGTGTCAGTGCCATCGCACGCTCAGGCGGACTGAATGCCCTTTCTTTGCTGCAGGCTTCATGCACAGGAGAGAGGCTTCTGGGAGTCTGGGTGTACAGAGGCATGCCATGCCCTCTCATTTCTCGCAACCTTACCCTGGTGACGATGAGGCTCCTACCTTGCCGCCTCGCACTCTCTTACGCGCATCATCCCTAAAGCTCGCAGTACAAACACGTTCACGGGATCGACGATTAATTGACCGATAGATTGCGGGAAGTTGAACGGCCGCATGGCGATGTATGTAGAAAGAATACGGCACGGATGTCGTTGAAGCGGAATCCGCAGCCCGTCTTGTCAATTGCCAATCCTCAACGGCAAAGACCCTTTTCTTGGGCTTGTAGATCTGTCCGAGTTCTCTCGGGTCTGCCAAGGCTGTCAGTACACGATCGCGCAGTGTCGCGACATCTTTACAGCGGCCGGTCCCTCTGGCTAGGGACTGTGCTCGTACAGTGTCTTTGGCCATCGAACTGTGCTTCTGCGATAGGCAGATACTCGACTCCGTTGCAATCTCGCCACTGTAATCGCGCGCAACACCGCGTCGCCTGAGTCGTATCCAGTAGCGCCTAACACCGTTAGTCCCAGCAGTTAGCACGGCAGAAGGGTGTGCGTGGAGTAACCCGGACGCTTCACACTACCTATGTCTCTCACCGTGTCACAGTGCAGCGCGCCCTCGACACAGTATGCTTCCTCGACACAGCATGCTTCGCCATGTTCCCGCAGCAAGTCTCCCCACGCCCCCCTGTCCAAGTCGACCAGCACCACCCATCACCCTTCAGCGCAGCGTCGCTTCCCCCCATCTCCCATATCCATCCGCGTCCCCCCGAGTTACTATTCCAAAACACTTTCGAGACGGTCTACGACTCCACCCCGAGCGAAAAGAGCCCAGATCTGGCCAGCAATTTCAACAAAGCGCAACAAAATACAGGGCGCCACTCCCCCATTGCCCTCCAATCCGTACTCCCCCGAAATAGCGCTGACTTGCCCGTCTTCCCCCCCGGCTCTCCCTTTTTCGCCCTTCGTCCCCCCCATTTCAGACTGTTCCTCAACTCTCCCAAGAATCTCTCGGCGCCCAGCCTGCGATCCCTCCCACATCCCCCACACGCAAGCCTTCTTGGAACCTTTTTCTCCAGTGTGGCCACTGACGACTGCAATCACGACCCGTTTATCGACAACTCGACCGCGACCGTTCATCGCTAACTTCACCGGCACTGGAGGATTTTGGTTAATCGATGCTTCGACCCCCGAATTACGTGCCGATTTCTTGACGATTCTGTACTGTGGGAGAGACTGGAACGCCCGGACCTGTGTCCCTCGACTCTCGCTGCATCCGCCCGACCGAGCCCACGACCTCGCGTTTTCCCCCCGACGACAACAACCCGCCACCGTCAATCGACTCCGCGAAAATTTCGAACACTGCATGGTTAATTCGATGGCGAGTGTTCGCGAATAGGAGGAAACCTCGTTAAATCCTCGCCTGCGGCTGGCCGCTCTGTTCCTCATCGACAAGCACTCGACGAGTCGGCGCCGCGACAATGGAGGACGCCGTGTTACCAGCGGCGAGTCCTCTGCCCTCTTTGGGGGCTGCCGCGGTCAAATTCGCGACTGCTGCACCTATTATAATTGCGAACAACGGGATCAATTATGAAGAAACCACATCCGGAGGCACGGTTCAATACACCGACATGCGCGACCCTTTTTACGCCTCAATCTTCCCAGTATGCTACGCTCTTGCCGCGACGACAGTGACAGCGTACATGCTGGTTATCATGTTATTTATTACGCCCCGATCCTTTCTCGACGGAGGCGTTGTATATCTCGGACGACGCGGAGGCTTCACCAGCGGAGGAACTTCGAACGGAATCAGCATCGGTGGACGTCCATGGCTCCAGAAAGTAGCAGCCGTGACCGTCGCGATCTCATTGACGATTGCCAGCGCCGATACCTTCAAAGTCGCCGAGGAGCAGTACCAGTGGGCTATTCAAGATGCCAAAAAGATGCAGTTGGAGGTTATGGACGGTACCGAGTTGAAGGTCATCCGCCTCATTTCCGACACGTTTCTGTGGCTTGCGCAAGCCCAAACCTTGACACGACTCTTCCCACGGCAGCGGGAGAAGGTTATTATCAAGTGGACCGCTTTCGCTCTTATCACCCTAAACCTCATCTTCAGCGCCCTCAACAGCTTCCAGTACCCCTCCAGCGGGAGCAACGGAAACGCCCGCCCCCGAAGTTTCGTCGACGCCGTTCCCGCACTGAGCTACCTATTCCAACTCTCACTCGGCTTACTTTACGCCGCGTGGGTCATTTACTACTCGCTTATGAAGAAGCGTTACGCCTTTTATCACCCATTGATGAAGAACATGATTCTTGTCTCCACCCTTTCCCTGTTCGCTATTCTCGTCCCGGTAGTATTCTTTGTGTTGGATATGGCAAAACCTGAATTTACTGGGTGGGGAGACTACGTTCGCTGGGTCGGTGCTGCCGCCGCCAGTGTGGTAGTATGGGAATGGGTCGAACGTATTGAAGCGTTGGAAAGAGAAGAGAAGAAGGACGGTATCCTGGGACGGGAGATCTTTGATGGAGACGAAATGTTGGAAGTGTCCGCTTCCGAATTCCCGTGGCTCCGACGAAGAAAGAACCGAGGCGGGCCGAGAGATGATGGCCCAGACGGTCCCGATGGTGGTGCTGGCGCTCAAGGTCCTCAGTCCGGTGGCAGAGGTAACCTGTGGCCCGGCATGTCATCCATTACCAACAGGTACCGCGGTAACCACAACACCGCCAACGCCGCATCCAATGTCCAGAACGGGCAAAGAAATAAGGGTGGTTTGCTCCGTCCGCCAATGTGGCCATCACGGCCAGCTCCCGCGGTGACGCCCGTGAGCCGTACTGACACCGCGAGCGCGGCCAGCACCGTTTATGCCGTCAGATACCAATTACCCACAGAGACGACATCGAGAACACCCGAAGTCGCCCCGCATGCGACACAACGCAACGCCACTGTCGCCATGTCGAGAAGTAGCTCTTTGTCATCAAGGAGCGATTCTAGTTCTGATAATGATGAGCTTTCCATGGCAGCGCCTGTGCCGAGACAAGCCACTCATAAGGCCGTTGAGATTGACACAGAAGCTCAAGAAGATCCGTCGCTTAATAAGAAGGGGTGGAGGTCGTTGGTCTTCCGCCGCAACGCTCGTGATCCTCCCGCCGAGGTCATGGCCCAGACTGAAATGAAAGAAGAAATTCGGGGAGGCCACGACGACACGGGCCGGTGGGACCTCAAAGCCCGGTTCGAGGATTTCGCCGCCACCCAGGCCGAGAAGATTAGAGAAAAGATGCGTCCAACCCCCGAGACAGACAGCCTGCCAGTCACTGTCATCCCTGCGCCACCCAGACAAGGTGCAGCTTTGGCTCAATTATTGGAGGAGGAGCGCAGCAGTCAAGATGTTCCCGAGCGGGTAGGACTAGTGAGAACGACAAGCGACGCCTCGGCTCTCACACCCTCGCCCGCCGCTGCGCTTTCAGCCCATCCGCCAGCACTCGGAAGGACCACGAGCAACTTTTCTTACCGATCCCCGGACCAAGCCACGCTTCAAGTCAATCGTCCGCCACTATGGCCAGGAGTCCGACCTCAACACCAGGAGTTCGACCAGCGGTCACCCAGCGTGCCACACAGCAGGAGAGCTGGGGACGATCTTGGACCGCCGCCCACTCCTTGAGGACTTTTGAGCGACTGAGTTTGTTTCTTGTTGAGCACAATAAGCGTGGCGCAGCGGGTTTTACTTGATTATTTTGCATCGCATCAGGGCGGGTCACGGAAAACAACGGACGGCTCCGGCATGAGCCCGTATTTCAAATTTGAAGGTGTATATTGCGGAGTATATGGATATGGTTCTTTGTGTATATGGGGAAGAGGGCTCTCGAGAGGGCCAGGAGACCAAAAACAAACCGCCGCGAATAATGATGGGGCCTGATATGAGCACCCTGATGTACATGTTTGGGAATGGATCAGCCCGCCGGCGAAGCGGGCTCAAAGATCGGCGTTGACATGTGTTCATTTGACTCGAAATATGAGCCTGGTGTTAGCGAGCAAGCACGCTCAACGATGGGAAAGCGGTAGGCCTCATGTAGGGGACGAGACAGAAAGAGGGGGGAAGGAGGGTTGAGTTAGATACCAGGAGACGTGCTGTCTTGGGGAAGCATGAGGTGGTGAGAGGAAGATTAGCGACAGTCGCACCAATGAATCCAAATGAGTTAACAACACTATTGAACATGACCTATTCCGTGAGACGTTTATTCACTTGACGCCATCAGATACGCGTGTAAGCTACTGTCAAATGTCTTCTGGACCTCTGCGCGAACACTCCAGGTCTGATTGAGATACTACGGGACTTCCCTGTCGCGCCCTGCCATATTCATTGGGAGCAATTTCAGTAGCCTGCGCAGCAAACCGACGCGAAGAAAACACGTCCACTGCATCCCTTGAGTGTTGTTGTTGGACAACGTCGAGACTACAGCTGACGCGGACCTTTCTCTCGTCTCACAACCTCGAAACGCCTTAGCCATTCTTCTCCTGCACAATAGCCCCCACCCACATGTCGGAGAACAGAATGCAAGTAAGAAATGCGTGTCTCGAGGAAAAGGACAATTCTACTGACCACAACGCTCAAAGTGCTAGCTGGCTGGCTTGCGAGAATATCACCGGCTTGGCAAGCACCGCAGCCAAGATGCGCGGCCGTTTTAAACATTGAAGAAAAGAATGAGACTTGGATCACCTTTATTTTTGCTACATAGCTTGAAGGGGGGGAAACGCTTGGCGCCGAGGAGGGGTTTGTGTGTCTTTGTGGAGCATCGGGTCGTTTTGACGGCTGGATCTCTCACACACACTTTAGGAGACAAAGTTGCCAAGTTCACGGGTGGCAGTCCCGAAAGTGACACTTTCCCGGGGATGCATCTTTCTGATGGGCTGGGTGGCTGCGGTAAATAGGCGAGAGAAAAGGGCAGTATGTCCTATCCGGCGACGACGACGAGGGTCGCAGTGATGATGATCACAGGAGGCTGAGGCGAATTGGGTATTTCGCATGCCTGGCTTGGCTCTTGGCAACCGCTTCATTGCGCCTCGTCGCGGCTGACCTGAAGTTTGTTCAGTTAGATGAGCGTGTTGGGCCCCCTTTTCCCCTTTTGCGAAGTCATTCGCCTTTCTGGTGGTGGCTCATGATCTTCAACACGTAAGCTTGCGGCGCCACTCCTGTTAGCCCGGGAGATACGGAGGTGGCCGCGGGAGTCAGTAATCAACAGACGGCGCCGGGGGCAGAACGCGCAATGAAGCCCCCGTTGCATCCGGGAGGCCAACTTCACCGACTATTTGCACAATTTTTGCGACAAGCGAGATGGTTCTGCGGGATGACTATTGACAATGGTAGTGGCGGTGTGTCAGCGACTGGCGAGGGCAAACCCGAACTCGTGTGCGATATTGAAACAGACTGGTGGGATGACCAGCTTGCTTACTGTGCGGGCGAAATTTCCAAGAAAAAGTGCGATGCTTGCATCTCTCCATATGACACTGAATTCGATTCGTTGCATTATCACGAGCTGAAGTTCTTGGCCTTCATTGGGCGTGATTCTTCGTAAGGGTTGGAAGGAGAGCGCGCAGTTATGCTGACTTGACGCTGGCGCTGGAAAGCGGACCCTGATCTTCAGTGACGACACTTTTTTGGGGAGGGGTACCGGGGCGTCGGGTCTTTACAGCGATAACGGTATCCGTATGGGCTGGGGCGGCTCGGGTGGCGGGCGTGAAAACGGCTCGTGGTGGGCGGGGAATTGTGTTAGCCGTGTTGGTTCGGTAGTGGGGGTGATAACTGACATCCGGGGACTGGATATGGAGGATGCAAGGTACCTTGCAGTGCTTACTTTGTCTGCATCTCATTTTCCCACCAGCAGGAGGCGAGTATTCCCAGGACAGGCGCTGGATTCTCGACTCCATATAAACATTGAACAGAGGATTCACCGCGGTGGAAATCGCGCATCTAGTAAGTCGAGAACAGATGACGGTGGGGTGGCGGAAGCGTTGCCAAAGTGGTAACGCGAGTTGGGTGTGTTGATGCAACCTGGTTCATGCAGGTCGGTCAAAAGAACGACTCCCGCTGATGGAAAGAAATACTTTTCAGATGGTGCAGTCATGGATAATCGGCGCTTGCAAGAGTAGTATGTCGTAGCAGGGCGGGAAAGGTGAGGCGCCGGAGCTGACCCCGAATTCCAATCGGCATCATCGGCCAATGGAACAAAGTGGCTGCTAGATTTCTCGAGCGAGTCTAGCGATTTAGAAACCTTTGATCGGTCCATCGCCTCACATTATATAGACATATGAGGCTGCAATCACGAGGGCGCCCTCTTCCGCTCATGTTCAAATTATCTAGACAGCCTCGTTATGGCCATCTGGTAGGAAAGGTGGCCGTAGTGTGCAGTCTTCAGGAGTCTTCTCAAGCAACAGCGAGATGGGGATTCTGATTTCGATCTCGATCTCGATCCCGAGCGCACAGCGGGCTTGACTCGCCCGCCGAGCCTGCCAGCTCAGCTTCAGGTGGACACTGTCGCACCTTTCTCGTAGTTGACTGGGGACATGTCTTTTTGCATGTCGTCAGGCTTCAATGTGGACGAGGGATGCAGTGCCATGCTGGCGTTGCAAGAGGGATGGTCCCGGTAGAGTGGTTGACGTTGTGCCCGCGTGCCAATGCACATGCAAGTTGAAGGTGGAGTTGAAGAATGCGGGACGCATCTCAATAGTGTTGGCGTCGATATTGACTACAACGCTTGTTCACATGGCACGGCTTCCAATGTTCCAGAACCATGCCGTCGTCGAAAAAAGCCTGTGTCCCGTCAGAAGTAGTGGCCCGGGTCTTTCTTTGCCTGACGTGCCTTACTCAGAAAGCCCCCTTTGCGTTTTCTTGGAGTTGCTCCCCGAGGGTCGGTACTGCGTAGTGTCACCAGCACAGCACGCAGGTACGGTGCATCGCTCTCGTGCAGGTGGGGACCATGGAGGTTTGCCATGCAAGATGAGGTAAGTCGGCCAGGGTGCGCGGGTGTGGAGCGTTGATGGGGGCGCCCCGACGAGGTCCCGGCAGATGGAACCCCGGCTTCGTGCAATTTGGTTGGCCAATAGCTCTCGACAGCTCCCCTTCTTGGCATATTTTTTTCTTTCTTCCTTCCTTCTTCTCCGTTGCGCGATCTTTGATTCCTAATACTCCTTATGTTTGCTTAATTTCACGTTGTCACTGTCTGTCTGTTTTCTCCTTTTCAACCATCTCGACGCCCTGCCTGCCTTGCACCTCCTGATTGCCCGTTCTCCCGGGCTTTCTTCCCGCTCTGACCCCGTTGGCAGGGCCTGGAAAGAGAAGCAAAAACAGACGACTGACTGGTCGCCGGTCAGACGAATTCGACGACGAAACAAAGCAGGGCCAGGGAACACCCTTGAGACGGTCTTGGACCTCGTTGTACGGCTCCCGAGTAAGGCACCACCTCACTTTGACTGTCGCAGCTGTTGCCTCTGCCTCTGCCTCTGCCTCACACTGCTCCTGCTTTGCTCCACAGACCCGCCAAACGGTGCAGCGTTCGCCTTACCTTTTTTTTACCCGCACTTCCATGATCGACAACGTGCCCCCCTGACCATCTCGACGTCTAATAACCAACAACCTCCTTTTCACCCACCTCTTGCCCTGTCCGGCTGTCCTCCTCCGCACCCGCAAGAAAGTGCTCTAGAACTCAAACCCTGACATCCTTTCCTCCCTTCCTATCTTTGCCGAATCGTCCTGCCTCGTCTATCCATCCCTCCCTTCCACGTCTCTCCCTCGAGATCCCAAATCAGTCAGCTTTCCGCCGTCCCCGTCCCGCGCCTCCAACTGCTTTAAACGAACCGAGACACCGTCCCAAGAGGACCTCTTTTGCGACAATGGCCGACTCCGAACCTTTTCCTCTACTCAACACCTCCGTCGACCAATTGCACTCCGTCATTGACCACCATTCCTCAAATTCCTCCCGCACCACACGACGTCGGAAGTCTAGTGCCCTCGGCCAGGACATTCGAGCTGGCGACACAGGCCCTGCACTCGCAAGCTACACTGCTGGAGACAGCCCCATCCCGCCAGTAAGTGCTCCTCCTCCCCTGCTATCCTCATCTTGAAGAAGCTTGTAGCTGGATATTCCAGTTCATCATCCCTCCTTTCTCCATGTTGACTCAACTGACAATCGGGCTTTCTCACCTCAGTCAAGTCCTACAACCAAAAGAGTTTCAAAACGCCGGCGTGCACGCGGCGTCCTCTCTCGTTTTCGTCAGGCCATGATCAGATACACCTACCTCGTTCCCGCCGTCGTCATCGCCATCTTCGGCGGCGCATACGCCGTAGACCCCTCCGACTCGAACCCCGCCTCTCGCTTCATCTTCCTCTCGTACCGTCTGCCTCCGGACCCGGCCAAGCCCGATGCACCAATTCAATATGGCAAAGGGCTATGGGACATAGCCTTCGTGGGTTTCTGGACAATCGTCCTCACTTTTACCCGCGAGTTCATCATGCAAGAATTCTTGCGTCCGCTAGCTCGTGCCGCTGGTCTTCGGTCTCGCGGAAAGCAGGCTCGGTTCATGGAGCAGATGTATACAGCTATATACTTTGCTTGTCTGGGTCCTGCCGGCTTGTACGTCATGAGCAAGACGCCTGTCTGGTACTTTAGTACACGAGGCATGTACGAGGACTTCCCGCATGTGTCCCACGAGGCCGGGTTCAAGTTCTATTACCTATTCCAGGCCGCCTACTGGGCACAGCAAGCTCTCGTCCTGTTACTTGGCCTTGAGAAGCCTCGCAAGGACTTCAAGGAGTTGGTCGGGCACCACATTGTTAGCCTTGCTCTGATCGCCCTGAGTTACCGTTTCCACTTCACCTACATGGGCCTAGCTGTTTATACCACACACGACATTAGCGACTTCTTCCTCGCAGTAAGTCTCCGAAACTCGCATTAACACACCTTGTAAAACCCGGATGGACAAGCGGCAAAGGAAACCACTTACTAATGTGTGCCATAGACCTCGAAGGTGCTCAACTACATCGACTCGCCGATTGTTGCACCATACTTCTTCTTCTTCGTCAGCGTTTGGATTTACCTGCGTCATTACATCAACCTCAAGATCATCTTGTCACTTTTCACCGAGTATACCACTGTCGGCCCTTTCGAGCTGAACTGGGCCACCCAGCAGTACAAGTGCACCCTGTCTCAGTACATCACCCTCGGCCTCCTGGGTTCTCTCCAAGCCCTGAACCTCTTCTGGCTTTTCCACATCTTCCGCATTGCCTATCGCTTTCTTGCCTATGACATAGCCGAGGATGACCGGAGCGAGGCGGAGGGCACGGATGCCGAGGACGAAACCCAGCAGAAAGCTTTGCCTGCAGAGACGTCCAACGGCCACACGACGGGCGCGAGTACCAGTGCGGCGGCAAAGGCCAGGGCTGTCAACGGCCGCACGAGATAAACAATTCTGCCAAGGAATTGAAACGATGCATGATATTTGGTGTTTTTAATTGATGAAGTCATTCGCTTGCATAACAGAATTGTCGCGCATTGCAGCTGGTTACGGGTCAGCCTAAGAAGAAAGAAGTGGAAGATGTAGCACATAAAAACCCATCAGGCGACCGTTGGACTCCACAAACATCGCCGGCTCAACGCCGCCAACGATGGAAAGGTTCATCAGATCACGATACGCAACACGAGGTGGGATGGCGCCGTTGTTAGCCGCAATCCGCTGATGAACTCGGAAAGGCCTGCGGACTCATTCGGTGCCGTAGGTGTTCATCGTACATCGTAAGCCCACCGTCGGCGAGGGGCATGATGAGAGCTTTGGTCTCCCGAAACGAACGGAAAATTCGAGGTCGGCCAGCAGACGACTGAACAGAACATGGCGGCTATCTGCGGCGAAGAGTAGCCGGGATTAGCTGGCTGAACGAGAAGCATGACTGTGGCTGAGGAGGAGGGTGCCAAGACATACAAGGTGTCGTCGGTTCGTGTTGGGTGGGTTGTGCGGAGGTGGATGAAGTGAGACAGGTGTGCGTCTGTGGACGATGACGGCGCACCCTCCTCGCGCGCGATTCGACCACCCCCTTCACCGCTTGCGCCCACGCATGTGCACCAATCGATGCACCCACTCGCTTCTCATGCTCATAGCATCTGAATCTGAATCTCACACAATACAACCTCATGACAGCGCGCGCGACTTTGGGTACCGGAACGGGACTTGCGAGCAAAAGGCGGTGGACGTGTGCGTGGTGACCTTGGAGTGAGACAACAATCGACCCCGTTCCTCGGAAATGTTGCCTTGAGGAATGCAACAGAGAAACCCAGGATGATTCATTCGGCATAGACAGCACCTGATGCTGGTTGCGGGACGGACGGAGAGGGAGACGAAAAACAGAATCCATGGCAAAAAAAAACCCCGGAGGACCGAAACTTAGAGACGCTTTGCTTTTCCTACGATACCAAGTAGTCCGTAACGACGAGAGTTTAACGTTTGACCTCAATATATCTACACTCAAGGAGATGCGTGTTCGCTGTCGACCATCCTAGCGCGGTCGCCTATAGGATTGTATCATGACTTGGACACGACATCATGTTACGGAGCTGCACCTTGAACAAACCTGCCTATTTTCGGCAGCAAGCAATTCTCGTCTTTGGCGTTTCTCTGCCTGACGACATGTCTATGGACCGTAGCTGTGAAGCTGGCATTTGTAGCCACCCACCCCAAAAAACAACAAGAAAACATGAAAAAAAAGTAGTCGAGAAATCCCGTCCTCCGTCTTTGTTTCTCGTGGTCCATCCATCCCTAATCGGGAGCCAAAAATGCAAGCAAAAGTAAGCTGAACGACAGCTGGTCCTCCTCGGAAAACGAGGTGGTCCTGCAGTCATTCGCCCACACCCTCCGCAAGTCGTGCGAGAAGGGATTTCAAAATGCCAATGCCAAAACCTTCCGTTCCTGCACTACCCTCCCCCGAAAGGCTCACCCAAGCCTTTTGCCGAAATCCAACCCCCCGACTGCCGGATCGTAAGAAAGGACCAAATCCTGGTATGTAAGACTGTGGTATCTGCGTCGCGATGTCGAACAGCCTGCCCATGGTAGCAGGTGATGCCCCTGTAATAATCGGAGAAAGCAATTCTTGATGTAGAGGTCCCATGATTAAAGGAAGAACGTTCCCCTCCCTGTGTGATGATGATGATGATGCCGAACCACTAATGCACTATCCGGTCGAAAGACGATTTGCACTGATCGGTCGTGAAAAGACATATTATGAATCGAAGGCTGAGTGTGGTGCAGCTGAGAGAGAAAGTCGTGTGTTTTGAGTATTGATTTGAGAAAGATGCCCCCTGCCAACCAACCAACCGAGTCGGGCTGAGATTCCGTTCTCGAAGCCGCGTTTTTGTACCACTCGTGAAAGTCCATTTATGTTTTCGGGGTCCCAATGATGAGAGAGAGATGAAAGAGAACGATGTATATGAACTCCAAACTCCGAGTCGCCGGTTTGATGCAATCTTAAAGCCGTTAATCCGTAGTAACTGATTCGTAAAAAGGCGCGTGCCTCATTGTATTCATGAAAGTATTGTGTGGTACCAGGTGAGCGGCAATCACAAATTAGGGGTGAGGATGAGTAATGGTGTTGGGTGGTGTCGTCGAGGGCATCTTCAAGTTTGTTGGCCCTCGTGAGTTATGCCGTGTTGCATGTGTGACGCTAGATTTTCGATGTTGGGTCTAGCGATGCCGTGGACGATCAGAATGATCAGAATGATCAGAGTGTTCTGAATGATCGGAGTGATCAGAGTGCTCCGAATGATCGGAATGCTCCGAATGATCCGAGTCATGGTGGTGGTCACTATGAATGGATTCCGTATCAGAGCTGTTGCTAGAAGCGCTGGATGAATCCTCGCCGGTCGTATTGGCCTTGGAGTTGATTCCTGAGCTTCCGGGCAGGATTGTCGACGAGTCAAGGCTAGTGTATCCGTCCGAGTGCCCATCCGATTGCTTCTTAGGACCGAAGTTGGCCTTCTTGAGGAGTTTCTGTGCCTTCCTATTGGCAGCGCGAGCCTTCTCTGCAGCGCGTTCGGCCTGCACTTGCTTCTCCCACATTGACGCGTACCGACCATTGGCGTTAACAAGCTCCTCGTGAGTACCCTTCTCAGCGATGGTACCGTTGTTAAGGACAATGATTTGATCGGCGTGCGTGATTGTGGATAAGCGGTGCCTTTGTCACATGTTAGCACATTCGCCTATATAAAAAGCCAGCAATCACACAAAGGGAAAACTCACGCAATGACTAGCAATGTGCGACCCTGGCCCAAGTGCCCCAGCTTGTCCTGGATCAGCTGCTCGGTGTGGGCATCAAGAGCTGAGGTGGCCTCATCCAGCATAATGATCTTGGGGTTCTTGATGATTGTTCGGGCAATCGCAACCCGCTGGCGTTCACCACCACTCAACTTCAATCCTCGCTCGCCGACCTTAGTGTTGTACTGGTCTGGGAATGACATGATGCGGTCATGAATGCTGGCTGCGCGGCAAGCTTCAAAGACCTCTTCATCTGTGACACCCTCCCTGGCATACTTGAGGTTGTACATGAGTGTCTCGTTGAAGAGTGTGGTGTCCTGGGGGACAACTCCAATGAATCTTCTGACCGAATCAATAGTAAGGTCCTTGACATCCCTGCCGTCAATCTCGATGCTTCCTGATGTTGTGTTGTAGTAGCGGAACATAAGGCGGAAGACTGTCGATTTACCACCTCCAGACTCGCCGACAAATGCGGTTGTGGTTCCAGGCTTGCATTCGAAGTTGAGATCCTTAAGCGCCTTGTTCTTCGAGTCGTAATTGAATGCCACATTGTTCCAGCGGATGTTGCCGTTGCACTCTGTCAAAGGCACGGCACCTGGCGCATCAACAACTGTAGCCTTGACCTTGAACAGCTCCAGAAGGCGCTCGCCTGCGATGAGAGACTGTTGAATGGTGCGGTAGAAAGACGCGAAGATATTGAGTGGCGACTGCAGCTGGTTGAGATACGTCAGAAGAGTGACGAATCTGCCCACATCTGTGGTACCACTGGTAACCTGGTATGCTCCAAAGACTAATACGACACTGAATCCGAGGATAAATATGCAGGCCTGGATGACGTTCATCCGGTTGACACCCCACGCAACCTTCTTTTCGGCGTCTTGGTAGGCGGCAATAGCGTCTCTGTAGCGACCGAATTCCTTCTGTTCAGCGTTGAAGTATTTGACCGTCTCGTAGCTCATAATTGAGTCGTTCTTCACAGCTTCTTCCTCTCTGTCGGCGTTTGACATGATTCTCCTCTGGTCGGCCCGAGTCTGCGCCATTCTTATTGTGAGAAACAGGTACCAGAATGTCAAGCAGCTGACGATTGCGGCGTAGGTCGGGTCGAAAACGTAGGCGAAGACGGAGATTGCGAATATCAAATCGATAGTCATGGGGAGGACGGAGAATGTCGCCTGCTCGAGGAAGGTGTTGATCGAAGCGCCTTTGTTGAGAGCAGACAGAACCTCGCCAGTTCGTTTTCCCAGATGGAAATCCAGGCTAAGAGAGTGTACGTGCTCAAAGGCCGCCGTCGTCAAGGCCCTGTAGGAGTTCTGCGAAATCGGCACCCACATTATGGCGCGGAACGCATCCAGAAGCATTCCCTGGCCTTGCATGAGCCGCAGGACGACGAAAAGAGCCAAAACACCCCACGGGGATTCGCCTTTGCTAAGCTTCGTTGTGAGCAAACCCACAATCAATGGAACGAAGACATTGATAGCTCTCTGCGCGGCGAGATTAACGCAGCAAAGACAGTAGTACAGCTTCAGGCGAGGGTTGTCTCGAGGCCACTGGTACTGAATAAAAATCTTGTAGCTGCGTACGTATTCCCACCAAGTCTTGTGGGGGGCCTTGTCGGGTCGATAAAAGCCGGGCTCTCGAACGTCCTTGACGGCGGCGGCCTCTGCAGCACCGTTAGTGTTGCCAACAAGGCTTCCGTTCCGAGAGCTGCGCAGCGATCGACCATTAGCATCACGGCCAGTTTGACTGCTGTACGATGTTCTGGAACCGTTCATGAGAGGCGTGGTCTCGTCAGCCCGCGCAGAAGAGCTCAACTCCTCGACCTTGTCGTCGGCCTGCTGTCGGGGCTTCTTGATCCAGGCAGCAGTGTAAATGCCGACGAGAGTCATCATGAGAACCAGGCGAACGACATAAATGATGAGGTCAACCAAGTCCCACTTGGAAGCCGGAATCTCTTCGACACCATGGGACGTCTTCAGGTATTGAGGCTCCATGATCCAAAGAAATGTGCATACGCAGATCGTGAATTCGCCGATTAAACCAAGTGCCCAGGTAATGAAGTGTGATATCGTCGGGCTCGTGCGCCATTCGAGAAGGGTGATGAATACGTAGAGGTACAGGTTCGGCGAGCCTATGAGATAGACCTATGTCCAATTAGCTGTGTGCCA